TTATACTTAGTAGTGTATTGTTAGGAAAAGCTTTGGGCTCGATGCCTCGATCATTGTGGAAAGCCGCAGCCGCTTCAACAACTGGTATATTTGTCCAATACTGTACCGTACTGTATCTACAGTACTGTACACCTCGCTTGCAAGGGCTCCAGCCAGTAGAGTCGACTGTCTTCAGCCTATTCCTCGGTACCGTACCATTAATAAGTAGGGCGTTGCCGGTTGTCTCAGAGGCAACGGCGAGCCAGTATCGTCAAAGTATCATCGCTCGTCCTGTCGTCGGCAGCTGTGAACGTGCTGCTTCATCGCGCGCTTGCTAGTCGTTTAGTCGCCATTTTCAGGATTAAAATCGCCTCAGAATTAATCTCCAGTGCATCGAGCGATGAATCTGCGCTCGTGCCGTTGCTCTTCTTGCGTCGTTAGAGGATCTGCCGAGCCGGACGGACTGCATTTAACACGCACAACGTCAACAGGTACAGTACTGCACAGCGTCTGCAGGAAGTTTGAGTCTTGCTGTATAGTTTACCAATACCGTACCTACTTCAAGACGTACTTCCGGGAGAAGTCGGGTTGTTACCTGGGTGCGGTGTCGAATAGAGACAGGTTGGGCATTCCGTTTTGGAGTCGATAAGAGGTAACACTTTGTTGCGTCTACATCGGATCGCTTGTTGTCGGATCCGTTTCAAAACCTGGAAAGTATAGAATCCTGTCTCTTACATGTAGGTATCCTGGGCAGAATGTATAGCTTGTAGGCACGTTCACGGATGTCGACGATGCGTGGAAGAAACGCGTGCACCAGCCAGTTCATCTTCTTACACCATGCTCCATTGGTGATGGATCAAGAAAGTTGGCCGAAGCAATCACGCACAGGAGTGTTCTGTACCGATGCAGGCTGTGATTGAAGCAACACTGATATCCATGTCGACGGACCTACACTAGGCTCGTAGTGTTGCCCGACAGCAACACTGATCGTTTCCCACAAATAGTTTACCTGTATCTCTCGTAGCAGAATATTTGGTTTACCAATGTTACAATAGTGGACACGCGTCACGACAGCGATGCAGGCACTCTGCATGGCTCATCGCGGCCAAGCCGCCCATGTACAATGCCGCCCCGAGATTCCGCCGCTTGGAGACGCGGACGCGGCAAGCGCGTGATGGTATACGCGCCACGTGCAGCAGCAGGGGGAGAGGGGGCTCTACGATATCTACGCGCAGCTCTACCTGGGGGGCACGGGTAGCACTGTAAAACACTGTAGTAGTTGGTAGGACACTCGCTCGGTGTCTTGGGGAAACGGTACTTTTTCAAGTAGGGAAAAAGTGTTTTTCCGCTGAACGGCCAAGACTTCGTGCGTCATGACCAAGCCTCGCGGTCCCATCCTCGCCGCTCATTGGGGCCAATCAAGTGTATGTGTGTGTGTGTAGGTGCTAGTCCTGTCAACCTCAGCTGTCGTAACCTTACCTTGACCTCCTTAACCTTAACCCACCTCCAAACTCACTGGACTTTCTAAACTTTCGCTTTAACCTCCTTAACGACACTACGGTACCTCAAGCTGGCTCGATTGGAGCCTGAAGTGGTCGACCTGGATGATCAACGAGCACCGTTCCCCACTGACGCGCTGAATAATAGCGCCTCGCACATGTCGATAGTGTTTCTTCAGCAAACTGGCGTCTGTCCACTGTTGCCTACGAGAACATCTAGCCTCCTGCCACGCTGACAAGGCTTCGTTAAGCCGAAGGCTAGACGTTCTCGTTTTATATGAACGCGGGTACAGAGGTACAGAGGCACAGGTTCAGGTGTGACCCACCACCGTCTTAAAGAGCTACGATCGACGTTAATAGCGGCACTCGCATCCTCCGCAACTTGGACAGATCGCTGTACAGACAACGACTTAGTCATCGATACATGTTTGTACTTCTGAAGTAAATGGATGGAAAGGTACAATATTGTTTTACTACTACACTGTAGAAGTTCACATTATTGGTAGATCAAACGGTGAGGCTTAGAAATCTGTCCTGCAATATGCTGCGTTCGTGCAGGCTGGTAGCTGCAGCCACGCCCAAGGTATTGTACGCCCACTACCAGTTCCGAGCCCGAGTTGGCTGGGAGTTTGGTCCCGGCTTTTTCCATTATACTGAGTTTTGTAAAGGGGAAGTTAGGGAGGTTAGGAAGGTGAGATTAACCTTACCTTAACCTGTGGGAGGTTGGAGGTGTGTAAGGTAAGGTTGACAGGACTAGTAGGTGCCCTGGTTTCCCGCTTAGATACGGCCCTGCAGAATGCAGTGTCCGGCTGGGCGGGTTTTCCCAGCGCTAGGTAGGATTAGATTAGGCAATCCGCTCATTTGTGGTCTTCCCTCGCCTCGGACAAGCAGCGCCCAAGACCAACACCGAGCGCGGCCCAGCATGAGTCGCTACCACTGCGCGCTCGCAAAACCCACCACACCTCACCCTGGGCTGCCTCAGCTCAGCTCTCTGCGAGCCCCGAGCTGAGGCTTGCCTTCTCTAATAATGAACGGATTGCCTTGCCCCACGCACAAGTGTTGAGAGTGGATGCGGAAAATATATGTGGTTGCAACGCTCGCATACGCAACACCCGCCTTATCTGCGTGTGTTAGCGATCGGTGAATGCGCGCAGTGAGGCTCACGCCCGTTAACCTAACTGAGATGTTGCGCTGTTGGCTGGAGGCGCATTAAAAGCGCTTACGACTGCTTCAAAAGAATCGCATTCAACACGCATCGCTCACGAATGGACTAGGAGCTGGTACTATGAAATTAGAATTAGCTCAATTTAGAGAAGTACAAGCTTTGCGCACTGGGAAGGCGTTTGCTCCTGCATAGTACACGCATGTATATAAGCACCACAGAAGGACATGCACACATTAGAATAAGGTTAAGCAGGAGGCCGCTGCAGACGGTCGCACATCAGGGAGGGCGCGAGCGCGCTACCCGGTAGATTCTGAAATGAGCTGTTGCGAGCCAGTCGCTCCAAACGTGAAATTCACGCCTGGAAAATTTACATTAGCGATGTGACCTTTTTTTACTTAGTAAAAGTACGGTTGTAGTGGTGCTGGTGGACCTGGTTGTCAGTGTTGCTTTAATGACTTCCCGACTCAACAATGTTCCAAGTACAGGTGTAGTGTAAACAAATCTCAGCCTCAATAAGTTTGTACATGTAGGTTCCTGAGGTGGGCAGCAACAGTAACCAGCGGCTGCTACTTTAGAACACGAGCTCATCTAGAAACTTGAATACATGTACAGTACATGAGCGCTGTGGTAACAAAGGCAAAGCTGGCCAATTCCACCGTCTCAGCGAACAACTGAAGTCATACGTATAATAACAAATTAAAAGCAACTTTTTCCTGGCGCGTACTAAATTTGCCAGCATATTCCTCAACTGGAAGCAAGACGAGGACGCAACAAAGTGTTACCTCTTATCGACTCCAAAACGGAATGCCCAACCTGTCTCTATTCGACACCGCACCCAGGTAACAACCCGACTTCTCCCGGAAGTACGTCTTGAAGTAGGTACGGTATTGGTAAACGATACAGCAAGACTCAAACTTCCTGCAGACGCTGTGCAGTACTGTACCTGTTGACGTTGTGCGTGTTAAATGCAGTCCGTCCGGCTCGGCAGATCCTCTAACGACGCAAGAAGAGCAACGGCACGAGCGCAGATTCATCGCTCGATGCACTGGAGATTAATTCTGAGGCGATTTTAATCCTGAAAATGGCGACTAAACGACTAGCAAGCGCGCGATGAAGCAGCACGTTCACAGCTGCCGACGACAGGACGAGCGATGATACTTTGACGATACTGGCTCGCCGTTGCCTCTGAGACAACCGGCAACGCCCTACTTATTAATGGTACGGTACCGAGGAATAGGCTGAAGACAGTCGACTCTACTGGCTGGAGCCCTTGCAAGCGAGGTGTACAGTACTGTAGATACAGTACGGTACAGTATTGGACAAATATACCAGTTGTTGAAGCGGCTGCGGCTTTCCACAATGATCGAGGCATCGAGCCCAAAGCTTTTCCTAACAATACACTACTAAGTATAATATATATTCTACAGTAAGCTTACGCGAATTCAGTCAAACGTACATGAGAGCAAACCCGCGTGGCTTACAGTACTTGAGAGCTTTGAGAAGAGCGAACCCTGGAACTATTAACAAAATCACCGCCGGTGACGTTCATCAGCAACTCCCGTCGCCTAGCGAATGTCGAGTGGTTGAGCGCTGGGAGTTTGCAAATCAGAGGTGGGGTGGGGTGCGTTCGCGTCGACAACGCCAAAAACAACGCCGTGCGTGGCTGCGCGTATTGAAATCCAAAGCATTTAATACAGTACATGTACATGTAACGCGTTTAGCTGGGAAAAATGGGCTCGCAGCTCGCCGGAGATGATGAACTGCCGTGTGCGAAGTCCAGTATTTTAGCTGTACATGTGCTAAAATACTGCAGAGGTTTGCTACGAGCTCGTCCTGCTCTTGCGGGATTCTCGCCGCCACAAGGACGCAGCAGCGCGCCCAGCAGCTAGATTCGGCGAAAACACTTGCTGCGAGTCTCCGAGTTTCACACGCTGGCTGCGCGGTTCACCTCGATTTGCAACCTTGTGGGCTTGGCCCACTGCGATGCAAGTTGCACCGTGCAACCTGGTGCGGTCGACATAATGGGTCACCGCTCGCGTTGCGTTCAAAGGCGCGCGTTGCGTCCAATTGAGCTGGGGAGACGGTGGTCGACCGGCTCAGCTGCTGGAGCGCTCCTGACATAGGGCGCGCCTGATGTCAGGCCGAGCCTTGACATGTTTGAAGCGTTCGAACACCACAGCGAACTAACGGTCCCCGACTCACAGTGAATGCCACAGTGCCCCAAGGCCGCTCTCATAGCGCCCGATTTCGTTGACCAGTGGCCACTCACTCTTGCTCACTTTCCATTTTGCACCGGGTGCAGCAAGCAACCAAGCCAGCCACCGACCGCAAACAAGTCTCTTCATCCTCTCCGCATCATGAAGTTCTTCACCACTGCGCTCGCTGTGTTCGCGCTGGTCGCCACGACCGCCAACGGCTCGCCCATGCTCCGCATGGAGGCCGAGGGCAAGAAGGGCAAGTCCAAGACCACCGCCCCCGTGGTGGAGGCCGACGACGACTACACGCAACAGCAGGACCCGACTCAGCAGGACGACCCGACCCAGCAGACCCAGCAGCAGTCGCCCACGACCAAGACGAGCAGCGGCTGCCACCTCACGGGCACCTACAAGAAGGGCACCAACATCGCGTCGTGCAGCTCCATCGTGGTGGACTCGCTGACGGTCCCCGCCGGCGTGACGCTGGACCTGAGCGCCGCCAAGACGGGCGCCACCATCGAGTTCGTGGGCACCACGACGTTCGGCACGCTCAAGTGGGAGGGCCCGCTGGTGCGCGTGAGCGGCAGTGACCTGACGGTCAAGGGATCGGGCACGCTGGACGGCAACGGCGCCTGGTACTGGAAGCAGGGCCAGTCGATCACGCGCCCCGTGTTCTTCAAGCTGCAGAACGTCATCGGCTCGACGGTGTCGGGCTTCACGATCAAGAACATGCCGTTCCGCACGTTCAGCATCGTGACGTCCAAGGACACGACGCTGAGCGGCCTGACCATCGACAACCGCGCCGGCAACGGCATCGCCAAGAACACGGACGGCTTCGACCTGACCAAGAACGACCACGTCACGATCACGGGCAACACGATCTACAACCAGGACGACTGCCTGGCCATGCAGTCGAGCACCAACACGGTCTTCAGCAACAACTACTGCTGCGGCGGCCACGGCATCTCCATCGGCTCGCTGGGCGGCAACGCCGTGGACCAGTCCACGACGGTGCAGGGTCTGACCGTGCAGGACAACCAGATCGTCAACAGCGACAACGGCATCCGCATCAAGACCATCATCGGCCTCAAGGGCCTCGTGTCCGACGTCAAGTACGTGCAGAACACGCTGACGAACGTCAAGAACGGCATCGTGCTGCACTCGGACTACAGCAAGGCCAAGGGCGGCTACACGGGCTCCCCCACGAGCCAGGTGACGATCAAGGGCGTGACGGTGTCCGGTCTCAAGGGCACGGCCACCAACCTGTACGACATCGTGGCGAACCCGAAGGTGGTGTCTGGCCTGGACTTCTCGGGCGTGACGGTGAGCGCGTCGGTCAAGGGCAAGCTGGCTGGCGTGCCCAACAGCCTGAGCGTGTAGAAAAACCCAGTGTTGGTTTTAAGTCTAGTATGCTGTAATAATCTTGATGGCGATCTACTGTAGAGGGCCATTTCGATAAATTGAAAGGAAGTACGTTGAGGTAGATTTTCCTGCGAAATTTACCTCGCTAGATGCACTCCTCGATCTACAGCGTGTTGATTAATCCTGAACGCCCAAGTTTACAAGTTAGCTTGTTCAACATTTGTACTGTAGCCATGAAAATAGATTACCAAGCTCGGTATAGATTACCACGTTAAGATATCTATTTTTATTCTAGTATTGTGCTTTGCAATGATTTTGCCGACCATTTTAGACGCTAAATATGGCAAAGCCTGCTCCTAAATATATGTGTAAAAAGATACACGACCTGCTAAAATTATGGATAAATCCACCTCCTCATATATATATCGACTTGGGAGGGCCTGTCAGCAGCCATGCATTGGCCCAGTACACCACCGTCCATGATCCCCAGCATATCCACCCTCTTATGCATAATTGCCGTGTGTGTAGGTGCTTGTGGATAAAAACCGACAGAATTGCAGCTGCACAGCCACAATTGCACTTTCAAAAGTGCAATTGTGGCGCTTTTAGCGTAATTCTAGGCTTCCACCCAACTATGCACCTCGATTTATCGTAAATCTAGCAGGTGGTCGCTATAAATACAGCAAATATCGCCTCATATTGCCAAAATCATTGCAAAGCACAATAGTAGAAGATACTTTATTTATTAATAGTTCATATTATTAAAGTCCTAGATTGGTTTTGATTGCTTCCAGCAAAGGCCTGGGGCTGCTTGTCGAAATGTCTGCCTGGACGGATTTGTCGGCATACTCAGAGAACTATCCAAACACAGCTGTAACGCAGCACCGTTGTCTGCCGTTTTAGGATCTCGGCTCTCGTGTCTTGCTACTGCCTGTATCTGGCGTGTACCGGCGACTTGAAATTCCGCAACACTTGACTCTGATGTTTCTTCATCTTCAAAAACGACTCGATTTCGTTGCGTCCACAGAGTAGCGAAACATACTGTGGTCAGGATAAACCAGATTCGGCCCAGTCCCACGACATGCTGCTGGATATAGCCCCCAGTGAGCTCCACAATTCTCAACTGAAGCGATTTCGAAATCGGGGGTGCCTTGCGTGATGCACACAGTGCCCGGAAACCTGCTACGAGAGATACAGGTAAACTATTTGTGGGAAACGATCAGTGTTGCTGTCGGGCAACACTACGAGCCTAGTGTAGGTCCGTCGACATGGATATCAGTGTTGCTTCAATCACAGCCTGCATCGGTACAGAACACTCCTGTGCGTGATTGCTTCGGCCAACTTTCTTGATCCATCACCAATGGAGCATGGTGTAAGAAGATGAACTGGCTGGTGCACGCGTTTCTTCCACGCATCGTCGACATCCGTGAACGTGCCTACAAGCTATACATTCTGCCCAGGATACCTACATGTAAGAGACAGGATTCTATACTTTCCAGGTTTTGAAACGGATCCGACAACAAGCGATCCGATGTAGACGCAACAAAGTGTTACCTCTTATCGACTCCAAAACGGAATGCCCAACCTGTCTCTATTCGACACCGCACCCAGGTAACAACCCGACTTCTCCCGGAAGTACGTCTTGAAGTAGGTACGGTATTGGTAAACTATACAGCAAGACTCAAACTTCCTGCAGACGCTGTGCAGTACTGTACCTGTTGACGTTGTGCGTGTTAAATGCAGTCCGTCCGGCTCGGCAGATCCTCTAACGACGCAAGAAGAGCAACGGCACGAGCGCAGATTCATCGCTCGATGCACTGGAGATTAATTCTGAGGCGATTTTAATCCTGAAAATGGCGACTAAACGACTAGCAAGCGCGCGATGAAGCAGCACGTTCACAGCTGCCGACGACAGGACGAGCGATGATACTTTGACGATACTGGCTCGCCGTTGCCTCTGAGACAACCGGCAACGCCCTACTTATTAATGGTACGGTACCGAGGAATAGGCTGAAGACAGTCGACTCTACTGGCTGGAGCCCTTGCAAGCGAGGTGTACAGTACTGTAGATACAGTACGGTACAGTATTGGACAAATATACCAGTTGTTGAAGCGGCTGCGGCTTTCCACAATGATCGAGGCATCGAGCCCAAAGCTTTTCCTAACAATACACTACTAAGTATAATATATATTCTACAGTAAGCTTACGCGAATTCAGTCAAACGTACATGAGAGCAAACCCGCGTGGCTTACAGTACTTGAGAGCTTTGAGAAGAGCGAACCCTGGAACTATTAACAAAATCACCGCCGGTGACGTTCATCAGCAACTCCCGTCGCCTAGCGAATGTCGAGTGGTTGAGCGCTGGGAGTTTGCAAATCAGAGGTGGGGTGGGGTGCGTTCGCGTCGACAACGCCAAAAACAACGCCGTGCGTGGCTGCGCGTATTGAAATCCAAAGCATTTAATACAGTACATGTACATGTAACGCGTTTAGCTGGGAAAAATGGGCTCGCAGCTCGCCGGAGATGATGAACTGCCGTGTGCGAAGTCCAGTATTTTAGCTGTACATGTGCTAAAATACTGCAGAGGTTTGCTACGAGCTCGTCCTGCTCTTGCGGGATTCTCGCCGCCACAAGGACGCAGCAGCGCGCCCAGCAGCTAGATTCGGCGAAAACACTTGCTGCGAATCTCCGAGTTTCACACGCTGGCTGCGCGGTTCACCTCGATTTGCAACCTTGTGGGCTTGGCCCACTGCGATGCAAGTTGCACCGTGCAACCTGGTGCGGTCGACATAATGGGTCACCGCTCGCGTTGCGTTCAAAGGCGCGCGTTGCGTCCAATTGAGCTGGGGAGACGGTGGTCGACCGGCTCAGCTGCTGGAGCGCTCCTGACATAGGGCGCGCCTGATGTCAGGCCGAGCCTTGACATGTTTGAAGCGTTCGAACACCACAGCGAACTAACGGTCCCCGACTCACAGTGAATGCCACAGTGCCCCAAGGCCGCTCTCATAGCGCCCGATTTCGTTGACCAGTGGCCACTCACTCTTGCTCACTTTCCATTTTGCACCGGGTGCAGCAAGCAACCAAGCCAGCCACCGACCGCAAACAAGTCTCTTCATCCTCTCCGCATCATGAAGTTCTTCACCACTGCGCTCGCTGTGTTCGCGCTGGTCGCCACGACCGCCAACGGCTCGCCCATGCTCCGCATGGAGGCCGAGGGCAAGAAGGGCAAGTCCAAGACCACCGCCCCCGTGGTGGAGGCCGACGACGACTACACGCAACAGCAGGACCCGACTCAGCAGGACGACCCGACCCAGCAGACCCAGCAGCAGTCGCCCACGACCAAGACGAGCAGCGGCTGCCACCTCACGGGCACCTACAAGAAGGGCACCAACATCGCGTCGTGCAGCTCCATCGTGGTGGACTCGCTGACGGTCCCCGCCGGCGTGACGCTGGACCTGAGCGCCGCCAAGACGGGCGCCACCATCGAGTTCGTGGGCACCACGACGTTCGGCACGCTCAAGTGGGAGGGCCCGCTGGTGCGCGTGAGCGGCAGTGACCTGACGGTCAAGGGATCGGGCACGCTGGACGGCAACGGCGCCTGGTACTGGAAGCAGGGCCAGTCGATCACGCGCCCCGTGTTCTTCAAGCTGCAGAACGTCATCGGCTCGACGGTGTCGGGCTTCACGATCAAGAACATGCCGTTCCGCACGTTCAGCATCGTGACGTCCAAGGACACGACGCTGAGCGGCCTGACCATCGACAACCGCGCCGGCAACGGCATCGCCAAGAACACGGACGGCTTCGACCTGACCAAGAACGACCACGTCACGATCACGGGCAACACGATCTACAACCAGGACGACTGCCTGGCCATGCAGTCGAGCACCAACACGGTCTTCAGCAACAACTACTGCTGCGGCGGCCACGGCATCTCCATCGGCTCGCTGGGCGGCAACGCCGTGGACCAGTCCACGACGGTGCAGGGTCTGACCGTGCAGGACAACCAGATCGTCAACAGCGACAACGGCATCCGCATCAAGACCATCATCGGCCTCAAGGGCCTCGTGTCCGACGTCAAGTACGTGCAGAACACGCTGACGAACGTCAAGAACGGCATCGTGCTGCACTCGGACTACAGCAAGGCCAAGGGCGGCTACACGGGCTCCCCCACGAGCCAGGTGACGATCAAGGGCGTGACGGTGTCCGGTCTCAAGGGCACGGCCACCAACCTGTACGACATCGTGGCGAACCCGAAGGTGGTGTCTGGCCTGGACTTCTCGGGCGTGACGGTGAGCGCGTCGGTCAAGGGCAAGCTGGCTGGTGTGCCCAACAGCCTGAGCGTGTAGAGTCTGCAGACGGTCTGAAGTGAAGTGTTAAGCAGTACTAGTAGTTGGTTGTGTTTCTGTGGCCAGTCGAAGGCTGATTTGGTAAATTGAATGGAAGTCCATTGAGATAGACTACCTAGGTTTTACTTCTGTGGTGCTGACTGCAATACCACGTAGACGGTTTGTCGATGGGCGCCGTAGTCTTCTGCCAACGCCATGGGGTCAATGGTGACGGATCAAGAAAACCGGCCGAAACAATCAAGGCATGTGACGGTGTCAACCTCAATGGCCCCTGAGGTGGGCACTCGCCAGCGGCTGATACTTCAGAACGCGAATCCGCCCAGAAACTTGAAAGCATGGATTACATCCGCGGATGTTCGCGGCGAGTATGGCGATGGGAGACAGCTTATGCGGTGTCTATGAGCTCGACCGTCTCAGCGAGGCATTTGAGCACGTACACTTACCATATACTTTGAAGTATATAACTCATGACGCGCCGCTGAATGCTTTATCAGGCTTCTATAGATCAGTTAATTAAGCTCAAATAGAAGGCCACTTTACGTTCCAAAGCGGAGGCGTGGAACTACCAAGCGGCCCGAGAGTGGACGCAGCAAAATGTTTCGTTTATCTACTGCAGCGAATAAATGTATATGCATCTCAATTCGACACCGAACCATCCCAATTCTCCCGGAAGCGTGTTAAAACAAAACTACATGCATCGACTTCAATGCGCTGTAACTGTTCCTCTCACGCTACCGCGTGCGTTGTACGCAGGACGCCCGGCGCGGCTGACCGTCTAACGACCCATGAAGAGCGACGACACGAATGCAGCAGCGCTTGATGCAAGATACGCCGTAGATTAATTATGAGGCGACTTTAATCTAGCAAATGGCGACTAAACGACTACAGTAGCAAGTGCACGATAAAGCACGAAGATCCATCGACATTAGCTTCATAGTGTCTAAGTCACCTGTCAACAGTGGATTGTATTGCAGTGCGCTCCGCAGAAGTAAAACCTAGGTAGTCTATCTCAATGGACTTCCATTCAATTTACCAAATCAGCCTTCGACTGGCCACAGAAACACAACCAACTACTAGTACTGCTTAACACTTCACTTCAGACCGTCTGCAGACTCTACACGCTCAGGCTGTTGGGCACACCAGCCAGCTTGCCCTTGACCGACGCGCTCACCGTCACGCCCGAGAAGTCCAGGCCAGACACCACCTTCGGGTTCGCCACGATGTCGTACAGGTTGGTGGCCGTGCCCTTGAGACCGGACACCGTCACGCCCTTGATCGTCACCTGGCTCGTGGGGGAGCCCGTGTAGCCGCCCTTGGCCTTGCTGTAGTCCGAGTGCAGCACGATGCCGTTCTTGACGTTCGTCAGCGTGTTCTGCACGTACTTGACGTCGGACACGAGGCCCTTGAGGCCGATGATGGTCTTGATGCGGATGCCGTTGTCGCTGTTGACGATCTGGTTGTCCTGCACGGTCAGACCCTGCACCGTCGTGGACTGGTCCACGGCGTTGCCGCCCAGCGAGCCGATGGAGATGCCGTGGCCGCCGCAGCAGTAGTTGTTGCTGAAGACCGTGTTGGTGCTCGACTGCATGGCCAGGCAGTCGTCCTGGTTGTAGATCGTGTTGCCCGTGATCGTGACGTGGTCGTTCTTGGTCAGGTCGAAGCCGTCCGTGTTCTTGGCGATGCCGTTGCCGGCGCGGTTGTCGATGGTCAGGCCGCTCAGCGTCGTGTCCTTGGACGTCACGATGCTGAACGTGCGGAACGGCATGTTCTTGATCGTGAAGCCCGACACCGTCGAGCCGATGACGTTCTGCAGCTTGAAGAACACGGGGCGCGTGATCGACTGGCCCTGCTTCCAGTACCAGGCGCCGTTGCCGTCCAGCGTGCCCGATCCCTTGACCGTCAGGTCACTGCCGCTCACGCGCACCAGCGGGCCCTCCCACTTGAGCGTGCCGAACGTCGTGGTGCCCACGAACTCGATGGTGGCGCCCGTCTTGGCGGCGCTCAGGTCCAGCGTCACGCCGGCGGGGACCGTCAGCGAGTCCACCACGATGGAGCTGCACGACGCGATGTTGGTGCCCTTCTTGTAGGTGCCCGTGAGGTGGCAGCCGCTGCTCGTCTTGGTCGTGGGCGACTGCTGCTGGGTCTGCTGGGTCGGGTCGTCCTGCTGAGTCGGGTCCTGCTGTTGCGTGTAGTCGTCGTCGGCCTCCACCACGGGGGCGGTGGTCTTGGACTTGCCCTTCTTGCCCTCGGCCTCCATGCGGAGCATGGGCGAGCCGTTGGCGGTCGTGGCGACCAGCGCGAACACAGCGAGCGCAGTGGTGAAGAACTTCATGATGCGGAGAGGATGAAGAGACTTGTTTGCGGTCGGTGGCTGGCTTGGTTGCTTGCTGCACCCGGTGCAAAATGGAAAGTGAGCAAGAGTGAGTGGCCACTGGTCAACGAAATCGGGCGCTATGAGAGCGGCCTTGGGGCACTGTGGCATTTACTGTGAGTCGGGGACCGTTAGTTCGCTGTGGTGTTCGAACGCTTCAAACATGTCAAGGCTCGGCCTGACATCAGGCGCGCCCTATGTCAGGAGCGCACCGCCACCTGGCCAAGGCCGCCGTCTCCCCAGCTCAATCGGACGCAACGCGCGCCTTTGACCCGTTACATGTACTAGTACTGTAGTCGGACCAACGCCAGCGTGGACCCAGTCTTCTGCACTGCACCGCGGAGGCCCAAGTCCACAAGGCTGCAAATCGAGGTCCGCCTCGCCTCGGCGCAGCCAGCTCCAGCGTTGAACCGGTACATCTCGTGTCTGCGCAGGTCACAGAGACCAAGGTCGTGCTGTCAATTAGTCGACGTCCCGTCTCCGTCTGCAGCAAGTGTTTTCACCGAATCCACCAGCTGGATGCGCTGAATCAGGGCCTGATGGCAGCGAGAATCCCGCAAGAGAAGAGTGCTCGACAGCAAGACATAACTTCGAGACTCGTGGAGTGATTACTGTGCAGTTATTATTTGCAGTACCAGTACGCGCGCGTAGTATGAGGGCGGAGCACAAGTGCTACAAAAAACACTTGTGTGCACTGCCGTCTGTGCTCTCTGAGTCGACATCTTGCTTTGAATCGATCTTTCGAGACCTAAAACCTCAGACGCGCTCGTTTCAATACTGTACATACATGTACACTGCGCTCTCATACCGCTGCTCTCGCACGCACACGCACGTACGCACGCACGCGCTTGTTGGTTTTTGTGTCGTCGTCGACGCGAGCGCGCTCCATGTCTGATTTGCAAAGTCCTAGCTTTCGATGGCGCGATAGATATGGTATTAATATGTGGAGGTTTATGAACTCCAATCTTCTTTTCGTCCCCAGGCAAAACTGCAGGCATGCTCTTTGGGTGTACGTGTACTATTCGATAGGCCTGGGTGAAGGTCGGCCGGTGCTGTTAAATGCTCTTCCAGCTCGCTACCGGTATCTCAATCAGCGCTCGAGATGCGCGTTGCCGAGGGTGGAAAGCCGCACTCGGCTTTGGACACGTTTGTTCAATGTCCACATGTCGCCCACAAGTACCCAGTTTGTCTGCCGCCAATTCTCCGCCGGGACGATGCCGGTCTCCGCGAAGGCGGCGACGCAGCGGTCAGCACCACCGTCGCATGAACGCACGTCTTATCGCCGTTCAAAAGCGCTTTACATGTGTATCGTGCACTTGCTGCATGTTCGTTTTAGTCGCCATTTTCTAGATTAATTTACCGTCGCCTCATAATTAATCTACGAAGTATCTTGCGCTGCATTCGTGTCGTCGCTCTTCATGGGACGTTGACGTCCTGCGTACAGGACACACGGCGTCGTGAGAACTATACCTGTGGTTCTGGACCTAGGTGCAGTGTCGAGTAGAGATATTCGCTCCGCACTTGGTATACGAAGCCTTTTGTTGTGTCCACAGTCGGACCGCTTGTTGGTTCGCACGCTTCCGCCTTCGAAAGGTGAACGAAACATTTAGTGGCGCGTCATGATATCCTGTATATCTAGGTGCTCAAATGCCTCGCTGAGACGGTCGACTTCAAGTATCAGCCGCACACGCTTGTCTTTCATCGGAACACTCTCGCGTACACCCACGCATGTAATCCACGCTACATTCAAGTTTCTGGGCGAGCTCGCGTTCTGAAGTATCAGCCGCTGGCGAGTGCCCACCTCAGGGGCCTTCGAATCACTGAGGTTGAGAGCTTCGGTCGGTTTTCTTGATCCGTCACCATGCCGGTTGCCTTTATTTTGGTTCTTATGCAGATCAGGTCTAGAATTTGAACATGCTGATTGTGAGACCGAATCCGTAGACCTGAACCAAACAACCACAGCAGTGGAACATGGCACGACGATCCATCTCCATGCTCCGTTCAACTACCTAGATATGTGTCCTACTAAGTATGTTGTAGATAAAGGTGGTCTATATGACTGGTTACTCGAATGAGCAGACATGTGCAGACTGCACAGTGCAGTAGCATTCTCCGATGTATCACTATCACTGCTAGTAATTTCTAACTGTAAGTTAGTGCATGTACCGGTATCTGCATCTATCTCTTCCGAGTTTCTACCCACAGCAAAACGCACTAGCGGTAACCTTGCATGCTGGACATTCTTCTACGTTGGTAAGATGTACTACACCTTTTCAACTTCAAAACTGCAAATTGTAAGTTCAAAACAGCAAAAGGTAAGATCAAAACAACAATACTCCATAAATGTATATTACAAACTGAATGATATCTATCATTGTATACGATTATAGAGTACAATTTGTCTATTGGCTAGCTGTGCAGCGTGCCAACCAATGAGCTGTGTATACAAGTACGAAGCTAGCCTGGTCTCTGCTCGTGCAGTTTTGAACTTACCTTTTGCAAAATTGAACTTACAATTTGCAGTTTTGAAGCTGAAAAGGTGTAGAATGTAAGAAAAGAAAATTGTGGGAAACAACACAAAGCACACAAGGTGTACACCCAGTAACTGGGATACCCAGTTGCTTTGCTTGGGGCGTAGTAAAGTACCGTAGCCGAAGTGCGCAACGTTGCTGAAGAAGCTGGGCCAGTAATGCCAAGGACGCATAACACATTGTATAACCTCGCAGCAATACAGTGTTCGAAGCAATTGTATTCGAATCGACATGAAAGTACGTAGTACGCAGACTTGAGTCCTTTCCTAATGGTCTGTCTGTCTCGCCTGCAGTACCTACCGTCCTAGCGCTTCCAAGTCTTACTCTTTGAATCAGGCAACTTGTATGGGAAAAGTGGCGAGCGCGGCACGACCGAGAGCCCGCGGCAAGTGTGGACCGAGATCTTGCCCTGGTCAGCGTATTTTGTGAGGCTGCGGTGCCGTCCAGGCCCACGGCGGTGACGGAAGCCTGGCGCCTCCAGCTCCACGACCGTCGTACGCTTGGGATTCTTGTGCTTGGACTTGGTCAGCACAATGTCGAGCACGTAGTCCTTCAGGTACACGTTCTGTGAGAAAGTCAGCGGGCCGGTGCTCATCTGATCAAGTCCGCGCGGCGGGGAAAGGATGCCATCGGTGTGCTTCGTGTCCTCAGCGCCTAAAAGCAAGACAGGGGAATTCAGACATGACGTTTTCCCAGTTAGTCACACGTTTGATCAAGAACGATGGCGAATTCGGAGCACACTTACGTTCAGTGTTCTTGAGGTGTCCAGGCAGCACGCCATACCAGATAGCAGCATGTTCTTGTCGTTGTCTTTCCGAGGGTCTCGTAGCATGTACCCCATCACAGCGCTGGCATCGCCCACAGGCATCAGCACCTCGAGATGCGCTCCGCCGCGCGTAGAGCTCTTGATCACAAGATGCGCGGCCAGTCGTCGTCGGCGGCGATGCACAGCGGGCATGCCCGCGTTCTCCTTCTCCTTGAAACGCAGCCGCCGTCTCGTGCCCAGCGGCGACTTCTCCGATGGCAAGTCCGCGGAGGTCGTGCGCGCTTTCCCGTAGCGCATCGCAGGCTGCTGCTGCTGCTGCACCTGCATCCCCCAGCTCACAAAGCTCGCTGTGGTTGCCGGCAGGTGGGGAGGGAGCTCACTGCATGACGTGCTGGACCGTTAGGTCTGGAAGGCTCGACATCACCGAGAAGCTGGCATCTCGGGGATGCTTGCCAGCGCCATGGCAGCCACTGCGCTGAGGCTTGACAACTTTCGTAATGTAGTCTTTTGCGTCTTCCGATGCGAATGTGATCCAATCACGAGATCATAGAAAAAGTACTATCTGACCAATCCAAGACCTGTTCTGCATAAGACCCATTTAAAAATCTACCACCATGCCGAATTGGATGCTGCTTGCGTTTTTACCGCACCTCATCATACTGGTCTACAGTACTATGCCTATGAATCCGACGCTGATTTGGGGTCTTGTAGCGACACATACACGGGTTTTGGAGTTTCATTATGAGTATGTTGGGCTAAGAAGCACAATAACTTTAATCAACATCGAATGTTCTATTTGGTCTGGTGTAATTACTCAATTGTCAGTCTTCTGGTAGACTGCAGGGCCGCCACTGTACGTGGCGGATATAATGCGCTTCTAAATGGCGACACTGTTAGGCGCACCGTTCACCTTGCCCTTGGCGGCCGCATTCACTTGGATACCCGAGAACTTCCAAGCAGAAACGGCCTTAGGGTTCACCACGATGTCGTACAGGTTCGTAGCAGTACCCGTGAGGCCAGACACCGTCACGCCCGTAATCTGCGCCTGGCTGGTGACTGCACCAGTGTAGCCTCCCCTCTGCTTGCTGTAGTCCGAGTGCACGACGACGCCGTAGCGGACGTTCGACAGGTGGTTGTTAATGAACTTCACGTCGGAAACGAGACCCTTGAGGCCGATGATAGTCTTGATGCGGAGACCGTTGTCGCTGTCCTGGATGTGGTTGCCCTGCACAGTCAGACAGTTGTCTTGTCGACCGAGTTGCCACCAAGCGATCCGACGGAGATACCGTGGCTGCCGTAGCAGTAGTTGTTGCTGAAGATAGTGTTGGTGCTGGACTGCATGGCCAGGAAGTCGTCCTGGTTGTAGATCTTGTTGCCCGTGATCGTGATGTGGTCGTTGCAGCTCAGGTCAAAGCCGTCCGTGTTCGTGGCGATACCGTTGCCAGCCCTCGAGTCCAGCGTGAGACCAGTAAGCGTCGTGTACAGCGAGTCCACAATACTGAACGTGCGGTAGGGCATTTTCTGGATGGTGAAGCCCGACAGCGTCGAGTGGATGACCTTGTGCACCTGGAAGAAAACCGGGCGGGTGATCGACTGGCCCTGCTTCCAGTACCAAGCACCTTGGCCGTCAAGCTTGCCGTTGCCCTTAACCGTGAGGTCGGTTCCACTAAGCGTCACGAGCGGTCCGTTCCACTGAGCGTTCCGAAAGTGGTGGTGCCCGTAAACTGAATGGTAGCTCCGTTCTTGGCCCTGCTCAGATCCAGCGTCACACCAGCAGGGACGTTGAGGTTTCCGATAGTAACGGTGTTGCAGGACGAAATGTCCGTGCCCTTCTTGTAGGTACCAGTGAGGCTGCACGTGCTGCTGCTGCTTTTCTGCTGCTGCTGAGCTGGGTTGCCCTCAGCTTCTTGGCGCACCATGGGCGAGCCATTAACAGTAGCCGCAATGAGAGCGAACGTCGCGAACGCTGCGGAGATGAGCTTCATGAATGGAGCTTGGTTTGTGGCTCCGTGGCTGTCTTGATGTGCTTCACTTGAGGCAAATTCGAAAGTGAGGACTAGGAATGCCCACTGCCGACTGCTAAAGTTAGCTGCCGTTGACTGGTTCGTGCTGCTCCTTCGGCCAGGGATGTAAATACGTAATTCGAGGATCTGGTAAGGGTTGAAGAAGGCTGAGCCGATGCGCTTACTGTGTGCATATGTCGCCGCCCGTTCAACTCGACGCCGGCATAAGAAAGACACCTTTTGAGACGCTGTGCCTCTGGGCGCCATAGTACGGACTGTAGCCTTACAACACCAAGAAACGCAGCAGCAACGTTGTACACCGAACCAACATTGAATATTCTAAATTAATGCAACGCTGCAGCACATGTTTTGACAGAAGCAGGCACCGCCTCAGCTCGTTCGTGCCAACGAACTATCCTAAATTTATCGCCGTGAGCGAGCTGCAACGGCAACAACAGTGTACTGCACGTGGAGCACGAGTAAGCATGGACACTACCTTGAAAGTGCTTTGCAGGGCTGGCCTCGCCACGCATCAGCCCCATAAATGTAGGAGCATGCAGTCGTAGTGTAGTGTGAAACCTAGGAAAGGGGTTCAGATTAATAAGTACTGTAGTGGTGCTTACGTGGAGGCTGCATTGACACCACTGCTTTTTGTTGTCGCTACGAGTGTTGTGCAGCTACGTCATAATCGGAAAGTACACGCTATGCTGGCTCTCCAGTAAAAGAGGAGCGGACTTGAGACTTGTATGGTTGTCATTCAAAGTATTTTCTTACGAATACATTATTTGTCGGATGAAAGTTTCTTCTAGAAACTAGAGAGAGCATTGTTTAATAACGCGACATTTATTATTGATCTACTTGCGCAGTCGTGGGGCGATACCGTCATGGGATGCCCAATTACGAAGTGCATATATAGGATGTGTTAATGAATGCTCGGTAAGCGGGGTTGATGCAGTGCTCGGCCCAAGTGCTCCCAGCAATAACCGCAACAAAAATAAAAGGATCTATAAATGCTCATATTGTGCTTTGCAGTTATTTTGCCGACCATTTTAGACGCTAAATATGGCAAAGCCTGCTCCAAAATATGTCTGAAAGAAGATACACGACCTGCTAAAATTATGGATAAATCCACCTCCTCATATATATATCGACTTGGGAGGGCCTCTCAGCAGCCATGCATTGGCCCAGTACACCACCGTCCATGATCCCCAGCATATCCACCCTCTTATGCATAATTGCCGTGTGTGTAGGTGCTTGTGAATAAAAACCGACAGAATTGCAGCTGCACAGCCACAATTGCACTTTCAAAAGTGCAATTGTGGCGCTTTTAGCGTAATTCTAGGCCTCCACCCATTTATGCACCTCGATTTATCGTAAATCTAGCAGGTGGTCGCTATAAATACAGCAAATCTCGCCTCATATTGCCAAAATCATTGCAAAGCACAATAATACTAAGTATTTTAAATACATATTGCTAAAGGAAAATAGTAAAATTGAATACATACAATAATAATTTCCCGCATATATATCATAATTGTTTTATAAATATGAGATACTAGTTTTCTCTCTAACTTACTGAAGTAACTGTCACATATGAAATATCACTATATATTCAAAACTATATTATAATCTTTATAGAATATAATTGGTGATGATATTTTAGTTACGGGGGCTTAATGCATCTCTGCACATTTGCTTTTCGTTCTTAGTTCTTTGACGAGGTTGTGCAGCGTGCAGGAAGGGAAGCTTGATCATGGCTTCATTCAATGATCCGAACTCTGTCATGACGTCGCCGTTGTCTCGTACATCACCGCACATTGATTACCATCATGACAGCGTCGATCGGGTACAATATCACAGCGCGCAGGGGAGGTAGGTACGATTGTTTGCCCAATATCAAAGTCGGGTAAGACACGAAAGCAGAGGCATGAGTGGTTAAGAATTTGCACTAGGTCCTGGCTGGAGATAGCGATGATGGTTGTACGGAGCTCAAATAATGATACTCCTGGGACTATTTTTAAAATATATATTAAAATAGCACCTGGAGTATAAATATAATAATTAGTTTTATTTAAAAAGGAGGAACCATCCATTGAGTAGGTATCGCGAGTAAAATGTAAAGGAACCATCGGACTCTTAAAACAGACGAAGACATTGATAATAAGGGAAAGGCGCCGAATTAGATTCTGCTTGCAGACTATTGCGTATTTGCTCAATAGAATGCGCTGTTAGTTGATTTGTCCCAATACTCAAGAGTTTTGTATGATGGCTATGACAAAGACGCTAGGTGACCGTTCTCAATAACTCGCGTCAACGGCTCGGCGGCACATTTTGCGGTGTGTCGAGTAACGTAGACTACTGAGCCAATTGCCGTCGTTTTTTTAGCGTTAAGAGGTCCTCTATTTACGTTTAACGAGAAACTATAGAGTCCTCGAATCGTGAGCGAATTGCCGTCATGGGCTGCCAAGACGGTTGTAGTGTGCTTGGCATGAATGCGCTTAGAATTGAGTAGTTTGGTGAAGTGAGTGAGTGCCATCGGGATCGTATCTTGCTATTTGCGTCGCCATGGAGCCATCTCCAACCTACTGTGGATCACGATGACAGTTTTCACGCTTGAAATCATGTAGTTCGTGTACGTGACGCCCTCCGCGATCCCATACTTAAGTACTCGTTGTTCCTTCTCCCACACTCGTCGAGTACGCGGGGTCATTGTACCTGCCGACAATCCTGTTGCTCTGTTCAGGTGAGCATTCCGCATGGCGAGTACTGTAATCGCCCAGGTGTTGCTCGTGATCACGAGGCCGTCGTTTCAGCTCAACTGCTGTAGAAGCCTTCCGTACTTCAGAAGTATATTCTTTGTCAGAGTCTTGCCGTAGTTCGAGCTGCTGCTCGTGGTATCCTCAGAGTTGACTGTGCAAAGGGGGACGGGATGTTCGTCAGCGCTAATCCGGATACGGTAGAAGAGATGGTCTCGAGCATGCAGAAGACGACGGAAGTTATATGTTCATTCCCTGCTCAAGCGTCTTGGCCATTGAGAGTGCCTGAGATGCGCAGCTTCAGTTGTTCCTGAACCTCCCATGGATGTGCCGGACTTCATGACACCAAAGAAGTTGATAGCTGCGCTGCCTGTCGCGTTGCTTAAAACACCGACGCCGCCACTGAGTCAGTGGCGGTATATAAACCCGATAAAATGTTACTTCTGTACGGCTTGTTTGGCTGGCGTCTCATCGGCGATGCAGTGGTGGCGGAGATGGCGACGAGGGTCTTGATGCTGAGACTATACTGCTGTGGAGAAGGCTATGGTGGGAAAGAGGGTTCGCGCTTTGGAGCGAATCCTAGATGAAGCTGGAGGGGTACGAGCATGAGACGACGGAGCAGACCACCAGGTTGGGTCTTGCCCACATAGCGTAGTCAACAGAACTCACCAGACGCTTAATACAGTGTGCCCATGCATGGATGGCGTCAGCCCCGATAGCGAATAGTCAGTTTTCAGGGGGTTGACGCCGCTCAAATAGCACCGAAAGATCGGCGAAGCGCGATCTACTTCGGCAGCGACCGCTTAGGGGCTGGTCGCGCTGGCTGGTGCTGGTTCTCGGTCGGGTGTTCCAGAGATGGGAAGGGGTAGGTGAACTACTAAGTCGGCCTCGAGTTTTCACTTCTATATTATTTTTGCTCATTTTGGACATAACCATTGCAATTCGCAGAGAACCCGGGAACCAGCAAGCGGGTCGAGTTCCCGGGTTTTCGACGAATCGTCATGGTTATGTCCAAAGTGAGCAAAAATAATACGATATCATTTCGCATACCGCTTGCCGTCCCGACCGAGAACCAGCACCAGCCAGCGCGACCAGCCCCTTACAGGTTGGAGTGTCAAATTTTACGTACAGTACATGTATTACATGTACTTGTAGTCAAAGGGCAAACAACGATTTTTTTTTTAAACTGTAGTAGCTGCATGTAGACTCAGGCATGCTGCGATCGCCAACTAGTAACACCGAACCAGTGTTTTTACACGCTCAGGCTGTTGGGCGCGCCAGCCAGTTTGCCCTTAACCGACGCGGTCACGTCGATACCCGAGAAGGACCAGCCAGACACCACCTTCGGGTTCGCCATGATGTCGTACAGATTCTTAGCCGAACCCGTGAGGCCCGAGACCGTCACGTCCTTAATCAGAACCTGGCTTGTGGGGGAGCCCGTGTAACCGCCCTTCTGCTTGCTGTAGTCCGAGCGGATCACGATTGCGTTTTTCACGTTGGAAAGCTCGTTGTCCACGTACTTGACATCAGTAACGAGACCCTTGAGACCGATGATGGTCTTGATGCGGAGACCGTTGTCGCTGTCCACGATGGTGTTGCCCTCGACAGTGAGGCCCTGAACCGTAGTAGACTGGTCAACAGTGTTGCCACCAAGCGATCCGACCGAGATGCCGTGGCTGCCGTAGCAGCGGTTGTTGGTGAAGAATGTGTTAGTACTGGACTGCATAGCGAGGCAGTCGTCCTGGTTGTAGATGGTGTTGCCGGTGATCGTGATGTGGTCATTCTTGGTCAGACCAAAGCCGTCCGTGTTCTTGGCGATACCATTGCCAGCGCGGTTGTCGATCGTAAGGCCGGTTAGGGTCGTGTCCTTGGACGTCACAATGCTGAACGTGCGGAACGGCATGTTCTTGATGGTGAACTTTGAGACCGTTGAACTCATGACGTTCTGCAGCTTGAAGAACACGGGGCGCGTGATCGACTGACCCTGCTTCCAGTACCAGGCGCCATTGCCGTCCAGCGTGCCGGAGCCGGTGACCGTCAGGTCACTGCCGCTCACGCGCACCAGTGGACCCTCCCACTTGAGCGTGCCGAACGTCGTGGTGCCCACGAACTCAATGACCGCACCCTTTTTGGCCGCGCTCAGGTCCAGCGTCACACCGGCGGGGACAGTCAGCGAGTCCACCACGATGGAGCTGCACGACGCGATGTTGGTGCCCTTCTTATAGGTGCCTGTGAGGTGGCAGCCGCTGCTCGTCTTGGTCGTGGGCGACTGCTGCTGGGTTGGGTCCTGCTGCTCAGTCTGATCTTGCTGCTCGGTCTGGTCTTGCTGCTGCGTTTGGTCCGGGTCTTCCAACTGAAGAATTGGCTCCGGTGTCTTGGTCTTGCTCTTTTTGCCTTCGGCCTCCATGCGGAGCATAGGCGAGCCGTTGGCAGTCGTAGCGAGGAGCGCAAACACGGCGAGCGCAGTGGTGAAGAACTTCATGCTGTGAAACCTTGGACTGGAGATTGGAGGTTTCTTGCAGGTGCGCGCAAAATGAAAACTGAGGGCAGTGGTCCACCTGCACCGAGCTGTGTTTCGAGTGCCCCTTCAGTTCATAGAGTAAACCATTACTTAGTAGTAGTTCGATGTGGGCTGTGGTTCAGCACTGCAAGCAAGCACGCATGCTTGACGGGCACCATATGCATTTTAATCAATATAGAGACTAACCAATCAAATATCGAGATGCATTAATCGAATCGATGCCCAAGATTTATTTATGAATTTGTATGGAACGGGAGGCTTCGAACTACAGACAACGACTTACAAAGCCGGCATGCTTAATGCCATCCTCCTATATAAAAACAACGATAAATTCCTTCCCGTCAAATCTGTTAAACTGTCATAAAACACACGGTGTGCTGCATAAAGTACACAAGAAAGCATATAAAGTACACAAAACCAGATGGTATACAAAGATGAAGTCATTTGATTGAATCTGATTGGATGGTTTGCTTGTGTTAAGCTTTGCTTGACTTCGTCTGCCGGCTTTTTGTGTCTACCGGCTTTGTAAGTCGTTGTCTGTATGCTGGCGGGTACTTTACTGTATCGGACAAAAACGCAGAGCTGGCAGCGGCAAAACAAAGCTCACACTGGAGTTTAGGCAGACAACAGCAGGCACGGCGTACAGTACACCGGCTTTTACAACAGCACATGTTCTCATCGAATGGGGGCAGCTGGAACTGCCGCTACAGTTTCATGGCTGTACAGCAATGCCAGCGGGTCATAGAATCGACGATACCGGGCTTAAAAGCCCTTAACGCTAACTGACTAACCTTTCGAAGAAGAACTGTGGCACCCGTGCCAAGCCCTGGTCATCGAATAATTTTAGCAAACGAAGACTTACAATGTACAATAGTCTAGTAGATAAACCGCCGTACCAGTATTATGTAGTGTGCGCGCCGCTTTCGCCAGGTTTTAATCACGGCACATTTCGTGTCGTCAAACCGCGCGTGCTCATCGTGTACACACCAGATTCACCCGCCAGGATTCCGCAGAGGGCTCTGCATTGCAGCGCAATTGGTACACAATACAGGCCGGTACCGTACGGATTGATATGCTACTATGTACCGCACTGTACATTACAAGTACAGGTTGCAGGTACCGGCTAAATTTCACATCATCTGGGTGTCTAAGCTGGTGCTCATGTTAGCGGGTCAAAAGGGTGTGTGGATCTGAGTGAAGCGCGCTGGGTTTGGACAACGGTCCATTGTCCTCCAGCGCATTGGCAATGGACTATTATTATAGAGGCGACTCACAGAGCACGACGACCTGCTCAAATCTGCAAGGTTGGCGTCGTCTGTGCAGTGCCAAATGTCAGCAAAATAAGTGCACAAGTGTGCACTTATTTTGCTGACATTTGGCTCCTGACGTGAGGTTCTGGGTAACCTGATGGTGCACACGTTTCGTTTGGTCGAGGACCAGATGCTCACACAGTGTAAAGGCCTTGTGTTTTATCGATTCTTCGTGTGTGCCCCACAAAGGTACCGTAAGCTATCCATTTGTAGTACTGTACCAAAGAGTATCTTGGAAATCCTGTACCAGCACCATGGATGTACATGTACCGTACGGCGCTCGGGCGGTGGCCAGGCTGCATCAAGACAGCAATCACTTGTGTCAAGCATTCGTAAGACAGTTTGACGACAAATCAAATCTAGTGATTTGATTGGCGAATAGTACGACTTGCCAATTCTGTTGGCACTGCCAGGCGCAGAGGCTCTGCTAGGAAGGCCCGCGTTACTCTTTTTGATGCATTTCGTTGCACTTCGTATCCTGACTAATATCGGGCGCAGCATAGTAGTGGTAGTAATGATTGGCGGTTCGATAGAACTGTGCGGAGGAGCGCTGCGACACCAACAAACTCCCTCTACATATTTAAAACACCACGGCGAGCTTAGATCGTTTAGATTTCCTACTACTACAGTAGCAAGCCGAGCAAACTGGTAAGCGCCTTCAGCCGGGCTGATCAATTACATTAGCTTTGGCATTTTGCATGTATTCCCGAGAAGTTTCGCCGCTCATTTGACTCTTAGAGGCCCTCACGTCGTTTGCGACACCACCAACAGCTTGCCTACACGTGGCCGCGGGTGAGGTCGGAGGTGTCCACTACCGACGTAGGTGGAGCTGCAGCAGTGTGCGCCTCCGGGAGTAAGGCAGCCAAGCAAGCCGCAACAAATACAAATACCAAGACTGGCTGACGCTGCCTTGTTGCTACTACAAAACAGTTCATTTCATGGCTTTGGTAAGATCCCATAATGTATTGAATGTTTACTCCCTCGCGTCCTCCGACAACGCCTCGGTGCGGAGCATGTGTGCGCGCTCGTCGTGCATTGTTTCGCTCGGAGGCGTCCTCAGAGGACACGACAGGGTTCGTGGGCCGCACTACCGGAGGAAGAGGGGCTCTATTTGGTTATGCATTAACTAGAATTCACTATAAAGCCCTGAACGTTTTGTTTGTCAAGCTGGGCTAATGGTTCGGGTGCATTTATTTCTTAACCATTCTCAAACAAGCGTGTACATTGTAGTCAGCAGTAGGGCCGCACTACCGACTACATGTTCGTGCTTGTGAGCGCCTTATTTCGTCGGCTCGACTGTAGGTGGCACGAGCAATTCAAAAACGGCAAAGCGGTTGTCCTCGGGTTCCTACATGCTCAACGGAGGAACGCACGCAACGACACTACCCTCTTTCGTGCAGAAAGTTTTGGCCAATCGCATGGTGCAAATTGTTGTCCGACAAACTGTCTTACGTTTTGACGGACAAAATACAATGTAGCCACTGGTATACTAAAACCAAGATGTAGCCAAAATGCGTTGATTGCAAAACGTAAGACGCTTTGTCTTACGGTAGGCTCTCTGGGGCTAAGTATCGTCTTACGAAAGAACATGAATCGTAATTGTTGTACATCGCATGACTGAAGTCGCGAGCGGCGACATGGGTAAGATACGTTAATCCAGCAGCAACGCAGGTTCTATCGATATGACCGACGTGGACCAGACATGCTGCTAAGATAGCCACAGTTCAGCGATCTTCGCTGTCAGCCAGCTGCATCTCTTGCTCTTGCACCACACTCGTACCGTACTGTACGGTCCTCTGGGGATTCCAGTCACTTCAACTTTTTTTGATGATGATGATCACAGTTGTCTATTTGACTACTTCAACTTTTTGTATGTAATCCACGCAGGCTGCATGGTCCCTGCCAGAGAATCCTAGGTGTTTACTTCAACTTCTGTCCATGCTGCAAGCGAAGCGCATGCGTCTTGGCCGCGAACGTGGTACCTGTACATGTACGAACAGCTACAAGACCATGTGGACACTGCACTTTTGAGGCATATGCAATAGAATTTCAAAAACAAAAACAAACTTCCATCGAATTTATCGAATTGGCAAATGCCCCAGCACTCTATCGGCCATCCTGTCGGCCACTGGGACGCCAATCTTAGCACACTACTAGAAACGAGAGCATCTACACGGCAACGCTGTTAGGCGCACCAGCCACCTTGCCCTTGACCGACGCGCTCACCTTAATGCCCGAGAACGACCAGCCCGACACGGTCTTCGGGTTCGCCACGATGTCGTACAGGTTGGTGGCCGAACCCGTCAGACCCGAGATGGTCACACCCTGGATCGCCACGGAGCTAGTGGGAGAGCCCGTGTAGCCGCCCTTGGACTTGCTGTAGTCCGAGTGCATGACGATGGCGTTCTTGACGTTCGACAGTGTGTTCTGCACGTACTTGACGTCCGACACGAGGCCCTGCATTCCGATGATGGTCTTGATACGGAGACCGTTGTCGCTGTCCTCAATCGTGTTGCCCTCGACAGTGAGGCCCTGAACCGTCGAGGACTGGTCCACGGAGTTGCCGCCGAGCGAGCCGATCGAGATGCCGTGGCCACCGCAGCAGTAGTTGTTGCTGAAGATCGTGTTGGTGCTCGACTGCATGGCCAGACAGTCGTCCTGGTTGTAGATCTTGTTGCCCGTGATCGTGATGTGGTCGTTCTTGGTCAGGTCGAAGCCATCCGTGTTCTTGGCGATGCCGTTGCCATCGCGAGAGTCGAGCGTGAGTCCGCTGATCGTCGTCTGCTGGTTCGTGACAAGGCTGAAGGTGCGGAAGGGCGAGTTCTTGAGCGTGAAGCCCGAGAGCGTCGAGCCAACGACGTTCTGGAGACGGAAGAAGACCGGGCGGGTGATCGACTGGCCCTGCTTCCAGTACCAGGCTCCCTGGCCATCGAGGGTGCCGGAGCCCTTAACCGTGAGGTCGTTGCCGCTCAGCAGCACGAGGGGACCAACCCACTTCTGCGTGCCGAACGTGGCGGTGCCAGTGAAGGTGATGGTGGCTCCGTCCTTGACATTGCTCAGGTCGAGCGTGACGCCAGCAGGCACCGTCAGTCCCCCGATGGTAATGGCGCTGCAGGACGAGACGTCCGTGCCCTTCTCGTAGGTACCAGTGAGGTTGCACGAGCTACTGCTACCCTGCTGTTGCTGGCCCTGCTTCGGGAGGCCACCCTTTCCGCCCTCGCGCAGCATGGGCGAGCCGTTAACGGTCGTGGCGAGGAGCGCGAAGGCAGCGAACGCGGCGGAGAGAAGCTTCATCGTCGTCGTGGGCTTTGTAGCTCAGGTGTGGCCGTGTCAGGTGCTGCTGTTGCTCCGCTGGAGGCAAAATTGAAAATGAGATCACCGGTCGAGCTTGACCGAATCGGGCTTCCACTACGGAGCCTCCTTGAAATACAGGGTAAGCGTCCAGTTGAGCCAGGGCACGCCGTTTTGACCTGAAGCGGGCTCCGGCTCAACGAAGCGGGCACCCTCTTTGACACCTCTCGAACCAAAAACAAGGTCAGGTTACCGGTGGTCGATCGTGTCCACTGCCACATGTGCAGTACATGTATTTGGTCGAGCCATGCGATCCATGATCGAGCCCACATGAGCATACTGTATCAAGTCAGCGCCGGCGTTGAACCAGCGCGCCGTGTCGTTCGCGTAACGGAGGACAATTTGTAAGGGCAACAAGTGTTTTCTTCGAATCGCGCAGTCAAGGCACGAACTTGCCGTAGTAGCGAAATGTATACACGTTGTGGCCGTGTCAGTCACGACTTATCTGGTCGTCGCCGCATTGTTTACTCAGTCTTTTGCAGATACATGTATTAATACTTGCAACGCTAGGAAGCTCTCCCACTACTGTACTGTATAGGTCGCATGGCTAAGCGTTGTGTGCTACCGTATTAAGGCTGTGTGGATCTGTCAACAGTAATAATAGGCCCTGTACTGCATTCTCCGCCTACAACGCTTCGATCTAAGTAAGATACACGTGAAACGGTGTTACAGTACTGTAGTCGCGCGCGCCGTGCTGTCGCGATTGTGCCGATTCTATGCATTCTAAGACTTGGACGTCGTCGTACGTGTACGTGTCTCGACGTCGAGCTATCAAAACGTTCGCGTTGGCACCATATGACGTTGCGTAAGTTGTGAAGTGAGGTCATTCAGCTGCAATAGCTACTTGCCTTACTAATGTATCCAGAGTATCGATAAGAGCCCCGCGTGAATCAGAGATCACCAACAGAACGAGACGCCGTCAAGAACACGAAAAAGATAGCTGTAGCAGAAAAAAACTTAAGACCACCATCACGATTTTAATGGTCAAAGCCAAATAAAATCTCTTTCTACTGTACTACTTGCCTTACAAAGAGGGCGCCCTGTGGCAGCTCCCTCCAGCTTTCCACTCTTGTGCAAGAATCCATGTGGGGCTAGAGCTGCTTCATTTTCAGTTAATGTGGCTAGCATCGGTGCGGCTTGAACCGCAAGCAAGCCGAGGCACCCCCTCGGGAATGGTGGGTGGGTTAAAATTCTGCGTCGCCTACTTGCGAGCGCACATGGTCGAATCGCTCAGCGCTGAGCGAAAGACCGAATGAAGCAGCTCACCTACTCGACCCTCTCGACCGCTTGAACCGTGCACCCAGATTTAGACTTCCGTTGGTCAGGTCGCTGGGACAAGACGGACAAAACAAGCCCGAGGAGGCCGTTAACAGCATCATGGACTCGTCGTCCTTGGGAAGGAGCTTGGCATCTTGTCGGACTCGTTCCCTGATGCGATCTTGTGTGTTGAAGTCGTTGTACATGGCCTTCTTTTACGTCGAACCCGAAAAACGCGTTTCCGACCTCCGTTGCACTGCGGTGGAAACTACTCATCCGCAGCACCAATCACTGACGCTGATTATGCGTTGTCGCCGTTGACGCGGCGGCGATACGTAGATGTAGTGTTGACGTAGTTTCGGTCGAGCTGTCAATGTCGGCGTCGTCCTTAGTCTGATGTGTCCGTTGACTGGTCCAAAACTCCACACACCACTCTGTGCGTGCGCCTGAGCAAGTACTTCGATGTACTAGAAACTTATTGTTATACCACTACTGTACGCTTGCTAGTTACGGTCAGTAAGTAGTGAGGGTACCGACGTGCTCGGATAGCTCCACTCAATCTTGGTCGTGCTTAAAATGAGTACGCTGGGATACAACGTGATAAAGGGCCAAAAGTAGTTGCAAGTGAGACTCTGCATAGGTTGAAAGCTCGTTGTATATGATTTTAGTAGAAAAACGTTCAGTTCGAGCTCGGCCTTACGTTCCGTTGTTGCATCACATATCCGAAGTACAGTCCATAGTGTGTGAGGAGGGAACAGTGGATTTCGTTCCTTCTGCACATGTACGCCAAGGCTCACGCAATATCATGTTCTAGTAGGCATTTTCTGCAAGAAGTGTCCATCTGACTGATCATACAAATATATTGCAACTTCAACTTGCTTGAACTTTTTCATCAAGAACAGAGGCAGGCGTTCTTTTGGCTTGTCAACGCATGAAAATGCAACAGTATTCAAACGGCACGAAAAGAACTCCGTTAATTTCCCGAAAGCATGAGCAAGCTTACATCAAATTTATCGATTTGGCACTGGTCCCCACACACTCTCTAAGACCTTCACGTCGGCCACTGGGACGCCAATCTAAACACAAGAGCAGAAACCACAGCATCTAGATCTACACGTCAATGCTATTGGGCTGGCCAGTCGCCTTGCCCGTCACGGACGCGCTCACTTCGATTCCCGAGAACGTCCAGTCCGAGACCACCTTCGAGTTCGCACAGATATCGTACAGGTTAGCGGCCGAGCCCGTCAGACCCGAGATGGTCACGCCCTGGATCGACACCTGGCTCGTGGGGGAACCCGTGTAGCCGCCCTTGGCCTTGCTGTAGTCCGAGTGCATGACGATGGCGTTCTTAACGTTCGAAAGCTTGTTCTGCACGTACTTGACGTCCGACACGAGGCCCTTGAGACCGATGATGGTCTTGATGCGAATGCCGTTGTCGCTATTGACGATGGTATTGTTCTGGACGGTCAGGCCCTGCACCGTGGAACCCTGGTTAACAGCGGTGCCACCGAGCGAGCCGATAGAGACGCCGTGGCCACCGCAGCAGTAGTTGTTGCTGAAGATCGTGTTGGTGCTCGACTGCATGGCCAGACAATCGTCCTGGTTGTAGATCTTGTTGCCCGTGATGGTGACGCCGTCGTTCCTGCTGAGGTCAAAGCCGTCCGTGTTCTTAGCAAGACCGTCACCAGCGCGAGAGTCAAGTAAGAGGCCGCTGACCGTCACCTGCTGGTTGTCGACAAGGCTAAAGGTGCGGAAGGGCGAGTTCTTGATCGTGAAGTCCGAGAGCTGCGAGTTGGCAACGTTTTCAAGGCGGAAGAAGACCGGGCGCGTGATCGACTGGCCCTGCTGCCAGTACCAGGCACCTTGGCCGTCCAGCGTACCGGAGCCCTTGACAGTCAGGTCACTTCGGCCGAGTAGCACAAGCGGACCAGCCCACTTCTGCGTTCCGAAGGTGGTGGTGCCAACAAACTCGATGGTAGCGCCCTTCTTGGCCTTGCTCAGGTCGAGCGTGACACCGGCAGGAACGGACAGCGAGCCGATGGTGATGAAGCCGCAGGAGGAGATGTCGGTGCCGGCCTTGTAGGTGCCGGTGAGATTGCACGAACTGCCACTGGTGCTGGGTTTGGTGGTAGTGCCAGCGTTGGTGGTGCTGCCGCTACCAGTGTTGGTAGCAGGGGCCGTCGTGGTGGAGCTGACACCGGCAGCGGCACTGCCGGCGTGGCTGCCACTGCTACTCCGGCAGCTGCTGTTGGGTCTGCTGCTGGCTTTGGTCTTGCTGTTGGGTTTGGTCTTGCTACTGGTCCTGGTCCTGACTCTGGGCGTTGTTGTTATCAGTCTGCGCGACCGGCGCGGCGGTCATGTGCTTGTGTTTCTTGCCCTCGGCCTCCATGCGCAGCATGGATGATCCGTCGACGGTGACGGCAAAGAGCGCGAAGGCAGGAAGCACGGTAGGGAGAAGCTTCATTGTCGTCGTGCGGTTGCTTGTAGCTAACGTTAGTAGCGCCCGGGTTGGTTGTTGGTGTTGCTCCACTGGAGGCAAATTGGAAACTGAAGTCGATGGTCGAGCTTCATCAAATACGAGCTACCAGTACAACAATACGGGTGGCTCTTTAGGGATCAGAGTAAACGTTAGGCTTGAGCCAGGGGCATTAGTTCTCTGCGGTGTTCGATCCGGATCAAGGAAACGGGGGAGCCCTCTCATAGCACTCGCCGAGTGCTATGAGAGGGCCACTCGGTCGTACCAGATGATGGATCGTGTTGCCGCCGGCCGCCGCGGCTCGATCGCACACACTTCGTATCCATCGGCAGCGGGCGGTTGGTCAAGCGGTGGCCAAACGCCACAAGCGAGCAAAATCGCAGGGATCGTAGACCCGCCCTGGCACAGCCAATCAGCTCTGGCAGCATACAACGTTTCCTTGAAAATGATATTTCTGAAGCGATCCTCAAGGTCAACTTTCACGCGCAACAAGTGTTTTCTCCGAATTGCGCGGCTGGGACGCGCACAGCCTCAAACGGCTTGTGCTCAAATAGCCTTTCGAAGTATGAACGATAATACTGTAGGTGTCTGCCGCAAACAACACTCACTTGTGTCGAGCATTCGTAAGACAGTTTGACGACAAATCAAATGTAGCAATTTCATTGGTTAATATTGTATTATGTAGTCTCGAGTGTTGCTGCATCTCGGCTCGTAAATTGGACTGATTTATCTGTGTGCGCATTTCCCCCCCTTTACTAGAGGCAGCGCACTTGAAAAATGCCCCTTGAAATGTCCGGGCCTTTGATCCTGACGCCATGCACTAACCTCCTGCTAGAAGATTTAAATATACTTGCCAGGAATGGAATGTAAGGACATCATAGCACAGTTATCATGCGACCGTTTGTTCCCGTAGTGGAGCAATGTTTCTTCGCTTTACTGGGGTGAACGACTGTTGTCGTTCACCCCACCACGCCAACTCTCCTTTCTACAGTAAAGTACTAACACTGCATAGAAGATGGAGATTCGGATAGAACGCGCATACGCAAACCAGTCTACGCTGTAGCATCGACAAAAAGCATGGCTGCAGGCAGTGGCTTAGTTGCAGGAGATACCGAGTAACTCGCCGATGCCGAAGGTCGAGCCCAGCAGCGATATGGCGCGCGCCGAGCGCCCGCGCAGCAGTGTGGAGCTCCTCCGCACCTCAGCGTCGTAGGTATAAGATCTAGGTATTATCGCCGTTGCAGAGTACGTGGTTGCATTTTGTTGCTGGACTGTAATGATTAGGTAAGAGGGGGTTGAAAGATCTCGGGAAGCCCACTGGCAACACCGTTCCCTGGCTGCCACGCCTTCACAACTACTATGATGTACGCTCAAGCATAAAATTTACTACATTAAAATGTACATGTAGTACCGTTACGAGCTATTTGTCCCTCTTAGTTTACGTCTGCCAACTTCATCGTAACTCCATGCCCTACAACGGCTGCACCTCTGAGTGGAACAGCTCCACGGACTGCATGCACGCGTTCGTGCAGTCATTCTGCCGATATTTAAGCTTGCTGCGAGCGGCCAACTACAGGCACATCGCTTCGTGTGTGAACAAGAGGCTACTTACCCTACCGCACCATGCAACTGCATCGTTTCGGCGCTCAACGTTGCCACCGCGTCCGCGGCAACGATGCCGCTGTGACATGAACACTTTTGGCCAATTGTATGGCGCAAACAAGTGTCCGACAAACTGTCTTATGTTTTGACAGACAATATGCAATGTAGCCACTGGTATACTAAAACCAAGATGTAGTCAAAACGCGTTGATCGGAAAACGTAAGACGCTTTGTCTTATGATAGGCATTCTGGGGTTAAGTATCGTCTTATGAATGAGCATGAATCCAAGTTGCCGAATGAAGGCGCGTGTTGGTCGTGGTGACATATAGATGTAGATTAGCGCAACCTAGCGGTAGTCGCGCGACGCGACTCGCGCAACGCCTGGCGCGCTTTTACTACAGACGTCGAGAACGCCATAACTTCCTGCTTGTAGGCGCGAGTGTATTGCAAGATGTGCAAACTCGCTGGCTCTAACGTTAGCATCTCATAGGATGTCCGATGGTAACCCTGCGTTGCAACCTAACGAAATCCACGCAGTTGACTCAAAACTATCCTGCCATCGGGTTAGCTAGAAACATACGCCACCATCAACACGCAAACGCTTGTGGTATGATCTCTCATAGGTTACTCTTACAGTAGAGAGCGCTGCTGAGCAGTCGCGGTCATAGTTCAAACAAGTTGCCAAAGGTGGTGCTATAAAGTCTGCCTCTTCCGAAGATCATTAACTTATGCCCGGTCGATTCATGACCTCATTCCTCCACATTAAACTGCCACTTGAAACCAAATAATGCTGTCGGAAGCTCGACCTTGTCAACCGCCGTCAACAAACTGTTCTTTTGACAAGTACAATGTGATACCAGTACCGTGGTGATAGATTTGGCCGATTGGCTTGCTATTAGGTGGTGTCACCACTGTCGACCAATCGTTGGCTCACTGCTCGACGCAAATAAGTAAAAACCGTTCGTACATATCCGCATCAAGATCATTGCCGGATCAACGGGACTCAACAAAATTACCTACCTCGACAATAAGTTAGGTGATCTGGTGTGATGCACTAACGTTGAAGATGTAATACCATTATCCTTACGCAGACGGACCACCTTACAGAAATAAGACGTTTCGAGGTTGTGATAACCCACTGAGCGTTCCTAATGTAGTTAGCGTTAGTTCACGGCACCTTGTGAGGCCAACAATTGTGTCACGGGGTAGCTCAAATCTTCCACATAAGTACTGAGTTTAGCACCCTGGTGGAGAGCGCCTGTGCGAAAACCGTTGAAGTTGTAATAGCATTAGCCCCCAAAAGATGGACAGATGGACACTCCCTGCATCAAATACCGGATCTATTAAAAAAATACAGCCTGGGGTTTGAGCAAAGCTATAGTATCGGTATCAGAATTGAGTTGCTCTGTCGATTAACACCGACAGAGCAACTCAATCTTCTTCATGAGTCTTCGGGAGCGCCGCCAATACATGCACATGGACGAGGAGAACGTGTGGACACATCCGCCGATGACTCGGAGGATCCGACGGCGACGGGAGAGCCGGCGGCAGCCGGGCTCTGGATATACCAGTGGCTGGTCAGGGAGACCCAAGTATACTGAGATCAAGTCAATCGGAACCCGGGAGTAATCCGTCTGATGAGAGGCACCAACGAGCACAAGGAGAACAAGAAGGAAAGCAGGAGGGGAAGACTAGAGAGTAGATTGAGAGACGATAACATTTAATCTCACTTCGGAATTTGCCCCCTCAACCACAAACTACAAACCAACAAATGTTAATCGACAGCCCAATACGAGCGTTAGTGTACAGTGATGCTGCGATTTGGTTAGCTGGTGCCTCGCATAGAAATGGCAGGCAGCTCACATGCTGAAGTTGCAAGAACAGTGCTATATCCTTGTAGGATGGTCACTCCTCTGCTGTACACGTACGTTTCCCAGAAACAAAGATATAACAATACAAATTAATCCAAAGCATCCATCTATTCATCAAGTGGATTCTACAAGCAGCTAAAATACCCGGTCGTAGCGGCTACATCTATCGAGACACTCATATGGACAATTCAAAAAGACACAATGAACGTCAACCCAGCCTGCCGACTGTTCCATCGCAGGCTAAACAGGTCTTGCTCATGCACAAGGTGTAGGCTTCCGCACCGATGCACGGCCGCAACCGGGAACCGAATACCGCGGGCGATACGCCTAGCACGTGATGGAGCTGGGCTGGCCGCTACACGAGCCCTTGCTGGACGCGCTCACCGTGACGCCCGAGAACGCCCAGCCCGACACCGCCTTGGGGTTTGCCACGATGTCGTACAGGTTGGTGGCCGTGCCCGACAGACCCGAGATGGTCACGCCCTGGATGGACACGTCGCTGGTGGCCGAGCCCGTGTAGCCGCCCTTGGACTTGCTGTAGTCCGAGTGGATGACGATGGCGTTCTTGACGTTGGTGAGCTTGTTGTTGGTGTACTTGGCGTTGGACACGAGGCCCTTGAGGCCGATGATGGTCTTGATGCGGATGCCGTTGACGCTGTTGACGATGGTGTTGCCGCTGACCGTGAGCCCCGAGACCGTGTCGGACTGGTCGACGGCGTCTCCGCCGAGCGAGCCGATGGAGACGCCGTGGCCGCCGCTGCAGTAGTTGTTGCTGAAGACCGTGTTGGTGCTCGACTGCATGGCGAGGCAGTCGTCCTGGTTGTAGATCTTGTTGCCCGTGATGGTGACGCCGTCGTTCCTGCTGAGGTCAAAGCCGTCCGTGTTCTTGGCCGTGCCGTCGCCTGCGCTCGAGTCGAGCGTGAGGCCGCTGATCGTCACCTGCTGGTTGTCGACAAGGCTGAAGGTGCGGAAGGGCGAGTTCTTGATCGTGAAGCCCGAGAGCGTCGAGCTCGTGACACCGTGCAGGCGGAAGAAAACCGGACGGCTGATGGACGTGCCCTGCTTCCAGTACCAGTCTCCCTGGCCGTCGAGCGTGCCGGAGCCCTTGACGGTCAGGTCGCTCCCGCTGAGCAGCACGAGCGGACCCTCCCGCTGAGCAGCACGAGCGGACCCTCCCACGTCTTGGTGCCGAAGGTGGTGGTGCCCGTGAACTCGATGGTGGCGCCGCTCTTGGTTTTGGTCAGGTCAAGCGTGACGCCGGCAGGGACCGTCAACGATCCGATGGTGACGGAGCTGCAGGAGGAGATGTCGGTGCCGGCCTTGTAGGTGCCGGTAAGGTTGCAGGCGCTGCCGCCGCCACTGCTGGGTTTGGTGGTCGTGCCCGAGTTGTTCGAGCTCCCGCTGCCGCCAGTGGTGGCGGTGCTGCTACCACTGGTACTGGGTTGTTGTTGCTGCTGCTGTTGAGAGCCGCTCTGGGACTGATGGTGGTGGTGACTGGTCTTAGTGCTGCTGCTTCCACTGCCGCTGGGCTGCTGCTGCTGCTGCTGTTGTTGTTGGTCTTGATCCTGCTGCTGAGGGTCTTGTTGGGACTGGTGGTGGTTGCTTTTGCCTTCGGCTTCCATGCGCAGCATGGGCGAGCCGTCGACAGTGGCGGCGAAGAGCGCAATGGCAGCAAGTACGGTGGGGAGGAGCTTCATGGTAACTGGAGCGTCGGGAGACTGGAGGCTGCGGGGCTGCGTCGGTGATTGAGTCAGAAGTGTTCAGGCCGATGCAAATTGCGGAATGAACTCTGTCGTGAAGACCCATGTATTTGCCGGCAGTGGAGACAGCCAACACTGTCTCGGATCTGCGACCATCGGCTTCCTTGTGTTCGCGAGGGCATCTGTCGTTCGGACAGCGCTAAAGCGCACCATAGAGTTGCCAATAGACGCCGGCGGTTTGTTGAAGCGAGCGTCGCCCGGCACAACTCGATCCTGTGGAGTGACCGCTGGCCGGCGTTAGCGAGTCGTACAGTATTGCCGAGCTGGTAGACCGGTTCAGGCTGGCGTCGGCGCTCGTTCGTGCGTTGCAGCAATGGTTGCTTCTAAACATATGCTAACGTAGAGGTGATCTCGAATATTGACATACGAAATTGCAGGAAGCGCTTTTTGCTGTCGAGCTGTACACGTATAATAAAAGTACGATAGCTTTTTCAAGCGCTAAGCTTAGCTGCGAAATATCTGCATTGGTTCTCGTACAATACAGACCTGCCTGTATGGCACTAAGTACGGCGATTAATCTTCAAAGTATCATAGTCGAGCAGTATCGCAAAATAATGGCGATTAACTGCGAACCTTCGTCGAAAGTGTCGAAAGTGTCGAAAGATTAACGGTAGACTAGCAATTGCTGTACCTTCAAATACAGTCCGAATCGAGATTCTCGGGTATCCATAGCACTTATAGCAGAAACTCCAACTTGCGTGCGCAATGGCTAGTGGCAGCAGCCGTTCTACCTTCACTCGCTACAGGATGCCTCAAAGATAGACGGCATCAATATTCAGGCTGCGCATGGTAGGAATAGCTTGATGTCAACGCGCGGGCACCGTCTCACCAACAATGGTAGCACTTGTTGGTAGTTCATCTAAGCTTAGTCCCAATGTTTGGCTGGATCGAGTGCCTCTGGCGTCACTTCACTAAACTCATCTGCTTGGGAAGAATCCTGCATGACGACAAACAGCAATAGCCATGTCGCCCGCATAAGTTTACATGTACACTTGTACTCGCGATTCAGACGCCACGCACGGACTTCTAAACGAACGAATGTGCCGGGCGCTCGGAACCTAGAGGCGTGTGCTTCATCTTCAACAAACCTCGTCAACATGTGCCAGCGAAATATGGCTCCGCCCCACCACAAAATGACGACCTTCAGCAATCAGCGCCCCGAAGCGCGAAAAAAAATGCAGACGCACTTCCTGCAATTTCGTATGCCACTATTCGAGATCACCTCTACGTTAGCATATGTTTAGAAGCAACCATTGCTGCAACGCACGAACGAGCGCCGACGCCAGCCTGAACCGGTCTACCAGCTCGGCAATACTGTACGACTCGCTAACGCCGGCCAGCGGTCACTCCACAGGATCGAGTTGTGCCGGGTGACGCTCGCTTCAACAAACCGCCGGCGTCTATTGGCAACTCTATGGTGCGCTTTAGCGCTGTCCGAACGACAGATGCCCTCGCGAACACAAGGAAGCCGATGGTCGCAGATCCGAGACAGTGTTGGCTGTCTCCACTGCCGGCAAATACATGGGTCTTCACGACAGAGTTCATTCCGCAATTTGCATCGGCCTGAACACTTCTGACTCAATCACCGACGCAGCCCCGCAGCCTCCAGTCTCCCGACGCTCCAGTTACCATGAAGCTCCTCCCCACCGTACTTGCTGCCATTGCGCTCTTCGCCGCCACTGTCGACGGCTCGCCCATGCTGCGCATGGAAGCCGAAGGCAAAAGCAACCACCACCAGTCCCAACAAGACCCTCAGCAGCAGGATCAAGACCAACAACAACAGCAGCAGCAGCAGCAGCCCAGCGGCAGTGGAAGCAGCAGCACTAAGACCAGTCACCACCACCATCAGTCCCAGAGCGGCTCTCAACAGCAGCAGCAACAACAACCCAGTACCAGTGGTAGCAGCACCGCCACCACTGGCGGCAGCGGGAGCTCGAACAACTCGGGCACGACCACCAAACCCAGCAGTGGCGGCGGCAGCGCCTGCAACCTTACCGGCACCTACAAGGCCGGCACCGACATCTCCTCCTGCAGCTCCGTCACCATCGGATCGTTGACGGTCCCTGCCGGCGTCACGCTTGACCTGACCAAAACCAAGAGCGGCGCCACCATCGAGTTCACGGGCACCACCACCTTCGGCACCAAGACGTGGGAGGGTCCGCTCGTGCTGCTCAGCGGGAGGGTCCGCTCGTGCTGCTCAGCGGGAGCGACCTGACCGTCAAGGGCTCCGGCACGCTCGACGGCCAGGGAGACTGGTACTGGAAGCAGGGCACGTCCATCAGCCGTCCGGTTTTCTTCCGCCTGCACGGTGTCACGAGCTCGACGCTCTCGGGCTTCACGATCAAGAACTCGCCCTTCCGCACCTTCAGCCTTGTCGACAACCAGCAGGTGACGATCAGCGGCCTCACGCTCGACTCGAGCGCAGGCGACGGCACGGCCAAGAACACGGACGGCTTTGACCTCAGCAGGAACGACGGCGTCACCATCACGGGCAACAAGATCTACAACCAGGACGACTGCCTCGCCATGCAGTCGAGCACCAACACGGTCTTCAGCAACAACTACTGCAGCGGCGGCCACGGCGTCTCCATCGGCTCGCTCGGCGGAGACGCCGTCGACCAGTCCGACACGGTCTCGGGGCTCACGGTCAGCGGCAACACCATCGTCAACAGCGTCAACGGCATCCGCATCAAGACCATCATCGGCCTCAAGGGCCTCGTGTCCAACGCCAAGTACACCAACAACAAGCTCACCAACGTCAAGAACGCCATCGTCATCCACTCGGACTACAGCAAGTCCAAGGGCGGCTACACGGGCTCGGCCACCAGCGACGTGTCCATCCAGGGCGTGACCATCTCGGGTCTGTCGGGCACGGCCACCAACCTGTACGACATCGTGGCAAACCCCAAGGCGGTGTCGGGCTGGGCGTTCTCGGGCGTCACGGTGAGCGCGTCCAGCAAGGGCTCGTGTAGCGGCCAGCCCAGCTCCATCACGTGCTAGGCGTATCGCCCGCGGTATTCGGTTCCCGGTTGCGGCCGTGCATCGGTGCGGAAGCCTACACCTTGTGCATGAGCAAGACCTGTTTAGCCTGCAATGGAACAGTCGGCAGGCTGGGTTGACGTTCATTGTGTCTTTTTGAATTGTCCATATGAGTGTCTCGATAGTTGTCGCGGCTACGAAGAAAGTAGCTGCTGTAGAGCCTTTTTGATGAATAGACATTTGTGCTCGAATCGACGCGGTCGCGGGAAAACTGTCCACCTGATGGAAGATAGAATATTATTGCAGGCGTGTTGGGTTTTGTCATATTTTCTAGGACTTATCTTGTTTCAACCTTAACGTGTGAATAAACAAGATGTATAAACAGGAATACAGTACACTGGCACAACACTATGGCAATCAAACTCGGTCTTAATAATGCATTTGAAAGTCGCGTGTACGTGGTCAATGTTGTTGAAATGGAAAGGTCTAGATTGGACCACAGTGAAAGCAGCTGCCACAGCTTTGGACGATCACGAACGAAAATCTCTAGCCCAGCGCCACTTTGTCATCGTTTTAACGCAGCTCTGTTGGATATCAGAAAATGCAAGTAAGGGGAGTTTATTGGCAGTCTACCTGGCTCGTGGTCTGTACTGCACTGTACACGTCCAAAGCAGGACAGGCTGTGTTGTTGTTGCCGATGTGCGCTTGTGCACTTGGAGATTGATTTGATTGGGTTGTTTGGCCCCTTAGAAATAACGCGCACTTTCGTTGTCAGCTTGTTTGACTAACATACATGTAAGTGATTTTACTACTGTACCGGATCTTGCCAACTACTGTACTACAGGTTCCACAATCTGAAGTGCCAATGCAGCAGCGGGCGATTGCCGACACAAATACATACACGTGCATCACGAGTCCACCACAACAAGATTAGCCCTTTACATACCGTAGCACGATCCCGCGCCAAGTGGTGGCGTTGCTGAGACGTGTGCACGGGGGTAGCAAATCCGTGATGACGTCCTGGTCAAGGTTCGAATGTGTGTTTCAAATCGTAAAGTTGCTCATGGAGCTCCCATATGACCGCCAGGCACACGGAAATTCAGCGGCTGTGAAGGCGTAAGCATAACATTCAGATCGTTCGCGGCGACGGATCTACAGCAGTCAAAAGGTGTCCGCAAGGTGCTCACGCTCGAGCCAAAGCTCCGTTGAGAAGGTACAAAAGGTGTAATACCTTCCATAACATTAAAGGCGCGCGGTGCATGCTGAAGAACGCAGCCGTTGCGATCACGTTGGCAAGCGAACTCAGCTTCCGCGGCGATACATATATTAATACATGTATTGTGGCTTTCAACTATTTTGCCGCCCGATTTGTCGTGTTATCTCGGAGTCTGATTTATATAAACTGGAGCTCCTACATGATCGATTAGTCCAATTTAGCTATATCTGACCTGAGTTAGTAGCATAAGGCTCAGAGGGGAGGCATTCCAAGTTCTCCTCACCTCTCATGACGCATTAGAACTGCAAGACATTGGGGACAATAGTACACTGTATATAGCTACTTCGTAGCACTATGGCCAGCTAAATCACCTGTGTGATCATCTACGGACGCTACTACCTCGTGCCACGCCGATCTGAGAGGACCCCAGACATGTTTTCGCGGCGGTCCCTTTTGCCGGCGGAAAGCGGCATTTCTGGCCCCTGCTTCGCAACTCGCAGCCCCCAGACGCAAATCGGGCCAGATATAGTTTGCTTCCCTCAGCCCCTCCTGCTAAATCGGAGCCCTCCAGCAAATCGGGCCCGATATATCGGATCTTGGACCACCCGATTTGCCAAAACGGATGAAAGCCACAATACATGTACTGCAGCTAGGGGTGGGTAATCGACCCAATCGGATTGATCGAGATGTACTTTCTGACCGATCGGATTAGCCAGTGCCGATTCTCGATTCATTTCGATTAGATCCGATTGATCGGTCGATCCAATCCGACAACCAAGATATAAAATACAGCAGTAATACCTCCAGAAAATGCTTCTCTAGATATCGCATTCACTACATGAATAATTTTTAAGCGACCACTGAAATGACCAATAGCATGTTTCCACTCTAATCTCCTATACATTTTATCATGTCCGAAACTATAAAATACCACAGACATCCGTACAACCGACGCTTCACAGCAAAAGTTCATGTGTGGCTTTAGTCTGCTCACGATAGTGCTGGTGTTATCTATTACAGTGACTTGAAGTGCGCTAGATTCGCGCTGAAATCGGCCTGAGACTTAATCGCATGTGGACCTGAGACAACATCGGTATCATTGGCACAGATCTCGTAGTTCTACTTGTTGTCCACCAACTCGACCACCACATTTAATCCGCTCAGCGACAGCCGAATCTGCGCCTCGGCGGTGTGCGGCGCCAACACCACCTCCACAGCCTTCCACCAGCTCACGTTACGCGACTGAAACTCGGTAGGCGCCTCCCACGCATCGCCGCAGCTGCTGCTGTTGCTACTGCTACTGCTACTGCTGGGCACGCACTACAGCTGCGCGAAATCGTTCCAGCGTGTGACCGGGTGCTCACGCAGTTTACGTTCCGCACAACGGACACGCCACCGCTACCTTTTGAGCCCCGGTACGGAATCCCAGTGCACCTCATTACTGGGCGGTGATTCGTCGCGGATTCGCAGTAAAGCAATTGGTCCAATCAGGTGTGCACACGTTGGGCGTCTGCTTGAAGTTGTCGATCGAATCGGCCGATTTAATCGGATCAGATCGGCATAGGCCTGCCGGACCTTGCGAAGTAGTGCATGCGCAGCAATCTTCCTCGCAGTTTCGCCTTTGCCATCTCGCACTAACGCACCTCTCCGCATACCTTCATTCCATGGAGCCCCAAGACAATTCAAGTGCAAGTTCATCCTCCAGTGAACCAAGGCGAGCTCGTGGTAATCGACGCTCCGACATCTGGACCTTCATTCGCGATAACAACGATGGGACCTTCACCTGCCTGCTGTGTTCCACCGACTCAGCTCCGGTCTGGAACACGGTGGCTCATACAACGTTCGGCGACACAGCACGGAGAAGAGTACGGAGGCGACGAAGCTGCGTCTCCGGCGGACACGAGAGGCGCCCGCCAGACGGACTTGCTCGCGTTTGGGTTCGAGCGATACGTGCGGCAGCGCACGTTCGACAAGGCGGCCGCTGACAAGCAGCTGGTGGTCTTGATCGTAGCGAACGCGCTTTCCCTGAGTCTGGTGGAGAAAAAGGAATTTCGTTCCTTCTGCAGAACACTTCACCCTGACTACGTGCCTCCGACAAGGAAGACGGTTCGAAAGAAGATCATGGCGCGCTGGAGGTGCGAAAAGGAGCTGTCGCGGCATAGCATTCTTCAAGATGTTAAAAACGGCCGGGTATCCGCCACGACGGACTTATGGACATCACCGGCAAAACGAGGCTACATGGTTGTGACCATGCATTGGATCAACGACGAGTGGGTCATTAAGTCGGTTATGATCGGGTTTACGCGCGTGGAGTATCCCCATTCTGGTCCCCGCATCGCACAGCATCTGATCGATACCATTCGAGCGATGAGCGGATCTCCTTTTGCAAAACTATGGGCGATCACTACGGATAACGCCGCCAACAACGGAACAATGATTGATGAGATCAACGAAACACTGGAGGAGGAGATTGTGGGCTACGACCAGCTTGCAGGGACGGCTTCGGGTACCACCTCGACTCCAGGGCCTACGGAAGCTGCCGAATCCCAAGCCAAGGTCGTTCATGTGCGATGTCTGGCCCACGTTTTTCAACTTGCTGTCAAAGAAGGGCTTAAACGATGCCCAATCATGGATGACAGTGTTGGTGTCGTCCGTGACATACTGAAAAAACTGTCGGAGTCGCCGTCGTTACTTGAGGCGCTGACTGATGTCTGTGCGGCACTCAATGTGACCTTTATATCGCCGGAGCTCGACGTTGTGACACGGTGGAACAGCACCTTAACGATGATTTCTTCAGCTCGTTCGCTGAAGCTAGCGATTGGTGAGTTACAGCGACGGATTCGTGGCCGTCATGAAGGCTACAAATGCCTTTCAATAAGCCCTGGCGATCGTCTCGCTGCTCCCATCCCGGACACGACTTGGGGCTATCTTAATGAGCTCATAGCTTTCCTGAGACCGATCAAGGGCGCGACTACACTCATGTCTGGCAAGAACTACCCAACCTTTGGTGTAGCGTTGGTTGTCTTCCATCTCGTCTTGAAGCATGCGGGGAAGACGGCGGAGACTGCTCTCTCGTGGTACACCAAGGATTTTGCTCGCGCGTTCAAGAAGAAGCTTGACGAGTATATCCCGGTCGTCAAAACCGATGATGCTCAAATTGCTGCCATTCTCGACCCTCGTGCGAAGTCGTTCCTCGTCAAGATTGACGTCAATGTCGAGCAAGTGAAAAAACTAGTCGAAGCGGAGTATGAACGCGTGTATCGGGCCCCATATGAGCAAAATGAACTGCGTAGAAAACAATCGGAGAAAACCCAGCAGCAGAAAGAAGAAGCTGAAGACGAGGACGCGCTGTACAGCCTTATTGATGAGCACATAGGGCACGAGTAGCACGCAAACAGCAGCGGTGAGTCATTTTCAAGTGAGTTGTCTCGCTGGCTTGACCACAAGGATAAGTCCATGAACCTGAAGACAGGCAGTCGAGCTGTGTGCAACTGGATGAAGCACGAAGCTGCATCATTTCCTCGAATTCAGATGATGGCGCGCGATTACTAGCTGTGATGGCTACTTCGGTGCCTAGCGAGGAAGCATTCTCTGCATCTGGAACGACGATTACGCCTCGACGAGCTCGACTTGCTGACGATGCTGTTACAGCGATCATGGAGCTGCAGCATTTTCTTGCCTTCAACCTTACCTCGGGTGATGTCCATACTGAACCAGTAGACATTAATTGGACTGAGAGCTAGTGTGTTGGTGGTCGCAGTGGCTTTAAGTCTGTAAGAGTCGCAATCGTTCATAATGCTATCGATCCAATTCGCCTTTGATGAGCTCGTTGCATTAATGACGAGTACATAGCGCTTCTGCTGCAACTTGATATGTGGTAAGCTTTTGTAAAGCAACCGCGTTGCACTCTAGGAACACAATACCATTTTTGCGCAGAATCATCTCAAACGAAGTCTGGCTCGCCGCCTTGGACGAGCTCGAAGAGCATGTATCGACATCGCGTGGTATGATGCACTCGCTCACATGGCGCACAGAGACAAGCGGATAATCGTGCCGCTGTGAAGTTACACCGCACTCGAAGCCTTGGAAAACGAGGCGAAGCGCTGCTCAAACCACCACAACTTCTGTGAGGCGGTCACTCTAACGAAACAAGGAGGAGCCATCTCCAATTGCTCAATCGCAACGAGGTGAAGCGCTGTCCGATAATTTAGCACCTGGACACCCGACGCAACGAGGCGAAGTGCTGCCGCAATTTGAAGTGGTTCGAAGGTGTGTATCTCCAATCGAAACGAGGCGAAGCGCAGCTCCAATTTATCACTCCATGGGGTCTGAATCAGGGATGCGAAGCGCTGCTCGAGAGTCTCCGCAGAGGCGGAGCGTTGCCTGATAATTTTGCGACTGAAGAGGGGCAACGACTAGGGGAAACGAGGCGGAACTGTTCCCGATTGTGTGCGATTTCAAAGTGGCGGGGCCACTGTTGTCAAACATGTCTGCTTATCCAGGCAGGTTAACAATGTTTTCAACGCAGATATCGCTACCGAAATGCGGTTGTCGGACTCAAAGCCTATCTGGCTGTTGTTTCGTGCGAAATGTAGTGACGCAGGAGGGTGTGGCGACGCGAAATGCAAATTTTAAGCGACTGCACGTTGGTTGCGTCGCTAGAAATGACAATCTTGCGCATGTCCTACGACTTCATCGATACCGGCACATTGACGCCGTATTGAATGTCAAGTACGCAGCAGAGCACGACAACTCAATTCTTTCGGTGATGTCGAAGTGATGGTGCCCTCAACGTGTTTCAGGGCGAATATGAGCGGGTCGCCGTCTCAACAAGCTGAAAGTGGAAAATCGCGGAAAACGAGCAGTGGGGCGATTAGGTAGTGGTTCCTCGCTGAGACTGCGAGCTATTTCTTGCGAGCAAAGACAATTAATTTATGGCGGTCATCATTACCTGTAGGATTTCCCAGCAACAGAGAGAACCGGGTAGCTGGTGCTTGGTATTTTGTGGCTTCCAGTTTGTCTGTATTTGCATCAGCTGCATTAGATTTTGAAAATCTTGTATTGTTTTCTGGTTATTGGCGAACTATACGGCTATCTCCTGGTGATTATGTTTGTTTGTGGTGGCGATGCGATAATTTCGAACCGTAAACTCTCGCGTTGGACTTTTGACCACGGAATTTGCAGCTTCAAGCCGGGTTGTGCTCACGAAAATGAGCGTATTTGCTTCGCGATATCAGCGAATTCATGTCTTGTCGACTCGAGTCGACTGGTTTTCGTGTCGTTAATCAATTAGTGGCAAGGTCTTGCGCTTGACCAGCCCTATTCAAAGCACATGCAAGTCTCGAGGTTGTCCCGAGTCCACTGAGTCGCAAATTGTTATCGTAGCGTGCTCTGAGAGTACACAAATGCGTTTGCTTGCAACTCGAACGCGCCCAGTTTCTTCAATTATTCTTGATCCCTCCATTTCCAATTTTACTGGCTTCCGCACAATCAGCGCACTCTCCGCAATGTAAAAGCCATCATCTATATTCCTCTGCAACATACCAAAACTGATGACATTTTTGTCAACTTCCATACACCTGCGTCATTCGTGCCCAGCACGCCTACGAAAGGCTTAACACAAGAATCCCGAACAACAGGCCAAATCGCTTCTGTGCAGACTTGCAACCACTTTACAAACTTTTTTTTCTGAAACGAGAACGTAATGATATCCATTGATTGACAAAACTGCACTTTGGAAGCAAAACATTCCTACAGCTCCTCGAGATCCTCCTATACGACCCACCTGTCTCCTCTGCGGACAATGCCAATGGCTGAGGTGACTTTTCCACTTGCTTGGTTGGCTTCCTGGTACATCTCGCGCAGCTTGAAGGTAATCGGGCGGTCGCACTCGGCGATGATGCCCTTCTCGTAGATGACGTTCTTCTGCAGGTAGTTCTCAACGATCAGAGCCTTGGGCATGCACTTGAGCGCAAGCGCCTGGTTCGTGGAGCCGTGACGTGTGATTGGCACGCGGACGGAGACGTCGGTGCCCCTGGCACGGACCTTGTACAGGGTCGTCTTGGCCGTCGGAGCTGTGGCGGGTAGCGGATCTCGCTCGCGCATTGCTACGCCCACCGAGAATCGACTGTTGCACGAGCTGCAACGCTGGTTCTCACATGTTGCAGTTAAGCTTGTCCAGAACCTGCTCGAAGGCGGCACGTTAAAGCGTGACGCTTTCACTTGACCAGCAATGACGCAATCCGCAGCGCAAGGCTGGCTCGCCAGTAGAGCGCATTCAGCGACACAAAAGCCCGTTAGCTCAGCTATTCACACACACACCACCACATACACAAAGTGGCAACCAACGTACTGTAAGTCTGCCACACGGTCTTCGTGTCGTCAAGCGTCTGACAGCCGATCGAGCAGAAGCGCGCATCATCTTGCAACCGCCGTTCTCGCACAAGTAGTCGATGGAGGACTCGGTCTTGACGTTGACGTTCAAGTGGCTGTACTCGCTGTAGCAATCGTCGGCGTACAGCAACTTCTTGTCGCCGAGTCAGAACTCGCACGAACCTGTGTGGATGAGACCGTGAGAGAAGATGGCATTGGCGTTGGTCGGAATGGGCTGCGGCGTGCCGTTCCGGTTGGTGAAACTGCAGGCCGCGTCGTACAGCGACATGCCGTCCAGCATCGGCTCGGGGTTCTTTGCAGATGTTGGTCGCCTTGGGGCATTGGAACACCTCAACGCCCTTCTGGGTGTTGCCGGCCTCGCAACTTGCGAGGGCCAGTCGCAAGTGTGGCGAGAAGCGGGAGGCCTCTTCGTTTTTGTTTTGTGATATCGACTATTGATAGCATCACATCTGCGAGGGGCAATATCACCCCAATTTTAACCAATGAGTCCGTGTTTCGTCAGCTATGTCGATGCTTCTTTGTCGACTCGATCCGATCCAATCCGATTGATCTACAAATCAGCCAATCCGATTAAATGCGATCACGATCCGTCTCGATCCAATCAATCGAATCGGATTGGTTTTTTGCTACCCATCCCTGGCAATCCCTGCTTGCGCGTCTCTCCGCCGTTGGTTGCCTCTATATTGTAATAAGCGGTGTAGACGCCAATTAGGCAAGAACATTTATTTGATATACGGCACAAGCACACTGTTGACCCGTGCTTGGTCTCCGACGAACGAACGCGTCGCAGTTAGCACTTCACGGTGATCGGCTCGCCCGTGCAGTTTCCACGGTTTGTGGCATTCACCACGATTTTGGTGAAGGACCAGTTGGACACAGCGTCCGGGTTCGCCACGATGTCGTAGAGGCTCATGGCAGAACCGGAGAGACCCTGGGTCTTGATGTTGGTTATGTTCGCCATACTGTCGGGGACGCCCGAGTACCCGCCCTTGGTTCTGTTGTAGTCCGATGGCGTTCTCGACGTTGACAACCTTGTTGTTAAGGTAGGCAATATCCTTGACCAATCCGGTCAAGCCTGTGATGGTCTTGATACGGATACCGTTATCGCTGTTGACGATAGTGTTGTCCTTCACCAAGAGACCGGTAACAGTGTCAGAGTCGTCCACCTTGTCGCCACCAAGCGACCCGATGGAAATGCCATGGCCACCGCTACAGTAGTTTCGGCTGAAGAGCGTGTTGGTGCTGCACTGCATAGCGAGGCAGTCGTCCTGGTTGAAGATCTTATTGCCCGTGATCGTGATGTGGTCGTTTCGGCTCAAATCGAAGCCGTCCGTGTTCTTGGCGACACCGTTGCCAGCCGTAGAGTTCAGGGTGAGACGGGTGAGCGTCGTGTAGTTCGAGTTGCCGATGCTGAACGTACGGAAGGGCGAGTTCTTGATGGTAAAACCGGAGAGAGTCGAGTTGCTAACCCTGTTCAGCTTGAAGAAGACCGGCTTGGTGACCTTCTGGCCCTGAGGCCAGTACCAGACGCCTTGGCCGTCCAGCGTACCGGGACCAGTGACGGAGAGGCTGGTACCCTTCAGCTTTAGGAGCGGACCACCCCACAGCTATAACAGAACAAGAAGCATCACTTCGAGTTAGAAAACGTCATAAATCTGAGGAGAAAAAATCTCCCTATCTTTTGGTGGTTCCCTTGAACTTGATGTGAGCGCCAGTGGTCACGTTGGTCAGGTCGAGTGTGACGCCAGCAGGCACCGACAGCGAATCGATCACAATAGTTTCGCAGTGCGAGACGTTTGTTCCTTGGATGTAGTTGCCGGTCAGAGTGCAAGAGTCTTCCTGCACGTGACCTGACTGCTTCGGCGAGCTGTCAGCAGCCTGGCTAGCGCCGCTCTGCTGCACGGGGTTCGCCTGGTTCGGCGAGTCTTCGCGGCCTGGCTGTAGGGGGACACCTGGCCGACTTGACTTGCCTGGGACTCCTGGGTTACGTCGTTCTGGGTAACCAAGTCCAACCCGTTGGTGGCAGCAACGAGAAGGGCGAGGACAGTGAAAGAGTGCGTGAAGATCTTCATCGAGAGGTCTTGGTGTGTTCACTTGGGAGCAAGTTGGAGAATGAGACGGGTAACCTTGAGAACATACACCATTGGGAGACCATGTAACGCCGCTGTATTCAATGAATTCATGCTTCAACAAACACATCACCGATCTCCCTCCCTGACTCAAAACTCATTGGTCGTCGTCGTTCAATGAACAGCGGAAATCCTCTGCCAGTAACCTTCATGTGTTCGAGCTAGCGCCACTCGCCTGCTTTCCACATGGCCTACGGCAAATCGTGCTACAGTACACGTAAATTAGTGGCTATAAGTTTTTCCAGAGGCTCAAAAGGATAGCAACAGCTCGACACTTAGGCCCAGTCTTATATCTCCCCGCAATCGCGGGAAGAGATTGGGACGAGTTCGGTTATTGCCAGGACCTCCGGCACTCTGGCAGTGTGTTAGAGATGCAGTCCGATACATTTGCCTTTCAATTTTATGTATCCCGCGGCCCGCGCCACACAACATCCCAGCGGGACAAGAGGGGGTGTCGTCCCTAAAGCGTCCCGCTTCGACCCGCAACAAAGAGCTCTGATTGGTCCCATCCCGCTAGATACAAGACTGGGCCTTACATGTAAAATGCTTGAAGCGAGGACTGTCTCAACTAACAGCACAAGGCTGCAGTTACAGTAATTTGTCTTGAACTACTATTCCGCTGATACCACTATTAAAATGATGCTCTAAATACTATAGTAGCTATTATTTTGGGACGAGGAGCCAACTAATACCACTGCAGTAATTAGTAACTCAGATCGGCCACATTTACTAATACTGACTACTGCCTCCCACTAGAAGAAATTTAGAGGCGTGTGGCAATCTTTCCGCTTCCAGGGATGTCTGGCCGCATGCCCACTCTCGTCGATTTAGTGCAGAGGGAAATATTTTGACGTCCGGGGCCACTGTCGTACACAAAATTGTAACACGAGCAAAACATTTGGCGGCCAGACCGGCTTTGCTCGTGTCGGTCCCGCCTACAGCTACATAGCCTCGACCTACTGAATGGCTCAAGAACGCTATCTACCTGGTTATTGGCGGCGCGTACTCATTATCGCCTCGAATAAATGATCCCCGTCTTACACGGTTTGTACGGGGAGCAAATATGAATCGATTAAACGGATCTAAAGTGACTTCAGGTGTTGGTTTTTACTTAGAGCAGGAGCATCCCGTTATACAAGCTGTACGAGTACACGATCCAATCGTCGGCTCTAGTAACGGGGACCAACAAGCTTGAGCTGCGGATTGCCACTGACAATTTGGCAGCGGTTCGACCGACCCCACGATCCCCACGTCAGCTCTGAAAACAAGATTGAACTGATGCTCGTAAAAGAAAATTTATGCCCGAAGAATCCGACCTTGTGTGTCGACCATCGAAATTACTATGAAGTAATAGATAATAATGTATTAATAATAATATAGTAGTCGAGATATCGGGCTCGATGATACTAGTACTTTAGTATCCTGTTATCTTCCACTAGTATATTACTATGGTAATTCAGAAGAAAATCGTGTTACTGTCAATCCCTGCGCGTAAGTCATGAAACACCAAATGATTTTTCAAACTTTAAATAATTCGCCAGTAACGTTACTTGTCGGTGACGCCAAGCCCGCATTTTATTTCACAAAAGACGACGAGAAATGGGCTATGGTGAACTTTGTGCCTTTGGGAAGCAAGACGGTCATCAGTGGGGATCATGGAGTAATAGCAGGAAGGAGTTCTGAACTGGTCTACGGTTGCGAGTTGGTGAATTGCTTGAGCAAGGACGGTTGGGTTCAGGTTGAGGCGATCCCAGTGATCGAGAGCTGGTGCGCGGTGCCTCTTGAGAGAGACAAACCGGTGCGAGCATGGTAGTTCGGTGTGGTCAAGGTCCAAGGGCCTGGTGCGACTCGGTTGTGAGGCTGTGTTATCGACTAGAAACGTCTCAGAGCGTGATCCGGTGTAATCAGAGTGAGGTGTGCTTCAGTCCCGGTCGGGGAGCGGTCAGTACGGTCGAGCGATGAAGTTGAGACGGTCGAGTGATGAAGTTGAGACGGTCGAGCGATGAAGTTGAGACGGTCGAGGCGTGACCAGTACGGTCAAGCGATGGGGTTTGTACCGTCGAAGAGCTTTCATTTGAACGACGGATGCGGTTTGTACGGTCGGCGAGCAGTGACTACGAGGGAGGTCCGTTGACGGTCATTCTGAACGGTGCTTCACTTCCGGGTGAAAAACAACGACGGTCGAAGGCGAACGGTTCAACAGTGAGGCTGCGATGAAGTGATCGGTCTATACGGCTTGAGTTTGCGTGTCAGCAGGGACTCGACGCCCGGAGGACTATGTCTCGAGAGTGTTCAATGGCTTTGGTCAGGGAGCGCTGCCTGGTCGCGCTCCACAGCGAAGCGAGTTGGAGGGCACGGTCAACCGTGTGAAGCGCCGGTGTCCAGGAGGAGTGTACGATCGCACGGTGCGGTGAAGAATCGGTCTACTGTGACGTCGCTTGTGCAGAAGATCTTGAGAGCGAGAAGTTGTATTGCTGTGAGCGAGCGAGCTGGACAGGGCAAATAGCTACGGTCGAAGGGCATGAAGGGGTGAATGACGACCTGCTGAAGCGGAAGCAGAGTCGATGGAGGGAGCGTTTCAGCACCGAAGAACGGTGGAGAGCGGACGGTGAACTGCTGGCAAGAACTCACGAACGGAACGGTGAAAAAAACGGTCTGCGTGTTTGAATTTGAAATTGAAGAGGGACGCAAGGAGTGAGCAGAAGGAAGACAACGGTGGAGGAAGCGTCCCTATTACAGTGTTTGACTGAGTTGGAAGTTTGGTGATCGCTGCAGAGATTGTATCGAGCAACGCTGTGCGGATTGGTGAGCGTCATGGTACTCGCGGACGGCGTCTCTAGGCGTGTGTGGTGGTGTTACCGGTGGCTACGGGTGAACTGCGGTGAGAGTGATGGGCTGTGACTCGAGCGTCTCGTGACGATAAGAAGACATGGGCGTTTGGACAGCTCGACGAGGACGTCGAGGTTTTGGTCGGGGAGGATGTCACGAGTGAGAACGGTGGAACGGTGGCCGACCGAGTTGTGAACGGTTGGGGCCGTTGGCCTCGGCGCCCCGTCCCATATGCGACCTTCATGGGAGAGAACAACTGGGCGAACGGGGGCGAGACGAGCAGTCATCGCAACTGGGTGCTGCTGTGTCAGATCTCATTCGGTACGAGCAGGCTAACTGGTGGCCCGCGGCGTGCCCAGCCGCCATGGAAGCAGTGGCGCATGCGCCGAACGCGCGCCGACGTGAGGAGCAGGACGGATGTCACGGCGGTCGGCGTGGCTCGGGCCAAGCGTCCGATGCGAGCCAAGGACGAAGGGATAAAGTGTAGCCAAGGGCGAGATGGAGCAGTTGAAGTCGGCAAGCGTGCCGGCAGCGGACTTAGCGAGAGAGCGCAAAGCGAGCGCTCCGAGCCAGGTTAGTAAGGACAGTCGCGAATTTGCTTTGGGTCTAAACAAGTCAGAACGCTTTGCATATTGAACCGTGCTTAGCTGCTTCTGGTTGTCCGTCTAATCCTCCTCAACCGTTCGTGCCTCGCTACCCACGGCGGCGACCGTGCCCGACCCATTTGACTCGCGACAATTATATGCACACATTCACGCAGATCAATGTATAAACAGTGTAGTACGTAAACATGTAATTGGTTTTCTCATTGCACTAATTCATTGTAAACGCGTTTGTATATTTGCTGCTCTATCACTAGCGTTCAGTTTAATGGCAAGTCCAGCGAAGTGATACAGGTTCTCGAATCCATATTTCACGTGCGCACCACGGCGTAGCCAGAGTAATCTGGTAAGTTATATGAATAATTTTTAGTTATGAAGATACCTGTTGGTGTAGGGAAGAAGGACTTCTGTTCCAGTAAGCTTTCGGCAACTAAAAAGAGCTTCAAAATGAAGGGTTATTATAATAAATTAAAATACAAAAAACGTACTTCGAAGTAAAAAAGCGTCTTACTCTGCAAACATATTAGCCACTAATGTTAACTATGCTGTTAGTGTTAGTGCGAGCACTATGCTTCCAGGGACTTCCTTTATCATCAGGGGTGAGAGCTCACACTTCCGTATCGAGGTTGACCATATTTTGAAGTATTTTTATACTAAAACAGCGCTACAGTTGTGTAGATGTAAAACCTTTTGAATCATGACAATTTGGCAGATGATCTATTCAGTCTGTGAAAAGGAGTCGCTCTCGTCGTCCCGACACGAGACCAAGTGAAGGTCGTCGTGTTGAGGTAAGTTTAGGGGAAAGAGGCTACGTACACAGTCTGATTTGGCTAATATTACTACAAAGCTTAGAAGCCCATCACCCTACAACGTGACGATCTGGTGCAGGACGGATGAAACCCAGCGGGGGTACTTTGCTCCGCTCCGCTCCGCAAAGGCAGTCGCTGCGCTCCTGCGATAAAAGATCTCGCAACCGCTCACCTCCGTTGGCCCTCTTTCACCCCCTCCCGGAAAGACTGTGTACGTCAGAGGGCTCATATGTTTGCTCGGCATGCACAAATGCAATACGTTTATGTTCGTCAAGAGCTGTTCACTCAATCTGTGTATTGCAATGTAATTCCGCTGTAAAATCCGGAGTCACATCCTCAGATTAATCTTTGAATAAAATCTGCAAGAGTTGATTTAGCTTAATTTTATAGTTCTTACGTTGATTTATTCGATGACAAAGCAACGCGTCATCCAGCACAACGCGCATCCACGAAGGACCCCAGTCAGAAGTCTTTGGTTCACAAGACCACATGAAGGCTTGACTCATGTATTAACGACTTGTGGCGGGCGTGTTCTCAGTGTCCGAGTCGGACAGCGCTGCTTCAAGAATTGGTCCTCATCTCCAGTGATTTCCAGGCCACAAATTTAGCACGATTTGCTGTGCAACACTGCCACCATGCGGAAAGCAGGCGAGTGACGTTGGTCCAGATTGTCTTCCCCAGACTGTCCACAACTGCGACAGTACAACCGTTTTATACAGTTGCATGCTACCACCGAGAAATAATCAATGATCTGCTGGGTAATGTTGTGCATCTGCCTTTTTGTACCTATGGCACTGTGTCGGGCTCACTTCACAGGCTCTCATCCGGGACTCATTCCTAAACTCGCCTCCTCCTGCTTACACAGCCTCCAGCAAGCGACAACAGCAGCCATGAAGCTCTTCACGCCTACTTTGGCTGCGCTCGCCCTTTTCGTGGCCGCCGCCTACGGCCTGGACCTGATCAACCAGAACGAAGTCAGCCTGCAGACTGAGGCCAGCCAAGTCGGTCAGGTGTCCCCCTACAGCCAGGGCTCGCAGAACCAAGAGGACCAAGAGGAGCAGAACGACGCCAAGCAAGTGGACCAGGAGGAGCAGAGCGACGACCAAGAGAAGCAGGACGATGCCAACCAGGCGGACCAAACGGAGCAGAACGACGCCAGCCAGGCCAACCAGAACGACCAAGTGCAGCAGAGCGACGCCAGCCAGGCCAACCAAAACGACCAGACGCAGCAGAACGGTGCCAGTCAGGCCAACCAGGCCGAGCAAAATGGTGCCAGTCAGGCTAACCAGGCGGAGCAGAACGACGCCAGCCAAGCCAACCAGGCCGAGCAGAACGGACCTACGCAGCAGGATAACTCAGCGCTGGATGACTCATCGTGCACGCTGACCGGCACCTACGTTGCGGGCACGAACGTCACGCACTGCAGCAGCATCCTCATCGACTCGCTGTCGGTGCCTGCTGGCGTGATGCTGGACCTCACCAACGTCACGGCCGGCACCAACATCAAGTTCCAGGGAACCACGACTTTCGGCCCCAAGGTACGACGGGTCCTGCATTCAACTCATGAAGAGATTTATCGTTCCAATTCTAACTTGATCGTGCTGCTGCCACCTATGTAGAAATGGGAAGGTCCTCTTATCAAGCTGAAGGGTAAAGACCTCACGGTCACCGGCCCCGGCACGCTGGAGGGTCAAGGCCAGTGGTACTGGCCGCAGGGCCAGAACATCACGCGCCCCGTGTTCTTCCGCCTCAGCCAGGTGGTCAACTCGACGCTGTCGGGCTTCACCATCAAGAACATGCCGTTCCGCACCTTCAGCATCCTCAGCTCGAACTACACGACTATCTCCGGCCTGACCATCGACTCCCGCGCCGGCAACGGCTCGGCCAAGAACACGGACGGCTTCGACCTGAGCAGGAACAACCACGTCACCATCACCCGGAACCGCGTGTACAACCAGGACGACTGCCTCGCCATGCAGTCGAGCAGCAACACGATCTTCAGCGAGAACTACTGCAGCGGCGGCCACGGCATCTCCATCGGCTCTCTGGGGGCCAAGGAGGAGAACATCAACAGCACTGTGTCCGGTCTCCTGGTCAAGGACAACACGATCGTCAACAACGACAACGGCATACGCATCAAGACGATCATCGGCATGAAGGGGCTGGTCACCAACGTCACGTACACGAACAACAAGCTGGTGAACGTCAAGCACGCCATCGTCATGCGCTCGGACTACAACAAGACCAAGGGCGGGTACTCGCGCATCCCGTCCAGCTTGGTCAAGATCACTAACATCAAGGTCGACGGCCTCTTCGGCACGGCCACGAACCTGTACAACATTTTCACGAACCCGGACGTGGTGTCGGACTGGACCTTCACCAACATCGCGGTGAACACCACCAACATTGGCAACTGCACGGGCGAGCCGAGCAATGTGCAGTGTTAAGTGCAGTGTCCGCGTTAATCATGTTGCCGTATATACACACTCGATGTCGAATCGATGTGAAGTCAAAGCTCGATAGATCTTAATTACGTAAGAGCTAAATGCAACTATGCTTCACAAAGTCAACCACTTGCCGCTGCAGCTATCCTTCTGAGAGGTCTACAGTAGCGCATATACTCGAGGTCCCTACGGAAAACCAGAGCGCCTCGGAAATTTTACTTGAAAACTATCGATTCATGCAGACTTCAGTTTTTGTTTTTTATTTTCCCTTCGTACATCCTCCAAAAGCTTCGCAGTTTCGCTTGGGTCGTGGGGAGAGCTGAATACTACTCAGCGCCTGGTTAGTGTGAACGCCAGCGAGCGCAGGTTCACTTCCAGGGATCTTAGCGGGGTGGCTTGCGAGTCCAAGGAATGAGTTTTCCCAAGCACCTCTGCGTGAGCCGCCAGACCCCGTTGATGTAGTAGTTCAATTGCAGGCAAACTTCACGCGAGTGTCGACTCTTGCGTCGTGAGAGTGAAGTCGTAAGCATACGTGTACTTGTGCCTTCAAAGAGTGATCGAAAAGTAGCATGTGTGCCTGCCTACGAAAGCATCAGCGTGGACACAGTACGAAGCAGTTCGTTCATGTCGATTGGTTCGTCAACGAGCTTGTGTCTAAATGCAGTAGACGCCTAGATGACCTGCTGACAAAGGCATTAATATTATTTAAGGAAAAAATAATACTACTGCGTGCATGTCGATTCCGTACGGCTAACGACTCACTGAGTGACACTGGATACGCACTGCATCAGCATTCGCCCCAAGCTACGTGTCAATTCATGGAGTGTCACTGCTGGGGGGTATTGCTGCTGGTGCGGGGGTGTCTGCGCTGCTGCGGAGGGTGTCGTTGTCGCCGGTGGTTCGCGTTGGCGCGGCGGTCCTGCGACTCCACAGGCACCGCTTGAGCCGGTGGTAGCGAGGATGGTTTGTCGGTCACCGTCTCGTTCCGGGACCTCCCGGTCGTTGCGTTGGCCATCACGGTTTCCATGACGTTATTGAGCGATCCTTGAGCGCCAACCAGCGCGGCGTGGACCTGGTCCAGATACTTCTTCATCTTCTCCAGCTCAGCCGCGTTCGCGTCGACCTTGGCCTCCAACTTGCTGCAGCGCTCGTGCACGTACCCGTCAAAGGTGTATAAGAATGCGTCCAACTCCGTCTTGAACCTGGTAGTCAGGCGCTCCTCCGTGTCCTTCACAGCCTCGAGCATTTCCTCCGTCAGGTCGTCCTTCACACCGCAGTCCAAGCACTCGAGTCGGATCCTGAGCTGCTCGAAGTCGGCCGCGATCTCCGCCTTGAGCGCGTGCTTGAAACTCTCCATCTCCTCCTCCTCGATGTCACGCGCAGCCCTGGCCGCCCGCTGAGCCTCAGCGTGTCGCTCCACGACGGCGTTGACGAAGGCGGTGTCGATGTCGACATCGAACTCGAAAAGAGCCCACCCCGTCAGCCTGATCAGGCTCCACTCGGGCTCCGCGTCACGCTGGCGGCATAGCTCTTGCTCTTGAGCTTGGCTGAGCTGGGGTGGGGCTTGTAGGCCTTGGTGTGGAGCACGGCTGGACTGCATGTTGGCTTGCGGGGAAGGCGGCGAAAGCGGAAGTGCGTGAATGCACGCAGACTTGAACGAAAATTTCGTAATGAGCTTCCGGTTCTGCATGAAGCGGAGGTGTCGCTGCCGCGAGTTCTGTGGCAAAGTGATCTACAGTATAACACTCTCCAGCTAGCGCCAGCGTGCCGTTCAACGCAACATCGGGACGAACTGCACTTGACCATCCACCCTCGAAGGTTACATGTTTCTTTTGCAGTTCTGCCCGACACCGACGACCTGCGCTCAAGCTCTTGGCGACACGCTCGGCTGCGTGCTTCCGCTGACAGTCCATTTTTTTCTTGTGGCACTCCTTACAGCAGGCATACAGGCCTTCCCGTTCGGCTTGACCGCGCAGGGTTCCTTGCAGCACACGTAGCACATGCCGGGCGCTTGCGAGCTCACCACTTCCCTTCTGTCCGCTACGTTCTTCGCTCGACATGCCGCGCACACCAGGTGCTTGTCAGGAGGCTTCCAGCCCTTGCAGGCCCGGCACACCTTGGGGTTCTTGCTCTCGTGGTACTTGGTCTTGTTCTTCTCGCTGCGTGCGTCGTACCTGACGCCCTTTTCCGATCTGCCCTGCAATCGACACAGCGACGAGCGCTCGTGAGCTCGATGTAGTTCCTTCTCTTGGTCTCTTTGGCTTGATCAGCGCGCAGCTCCGCGTCAACCGCGTTGCCCGTCTCGACCATGAACTCGCGAACACGCTGCATGTCCAGAGGCAGTTGCTGCATCTCCTCTGTCGTCGGGCTCTCACTAGCCATGGCCGCTGACAGCTGTGCCGCTGGCGTGGTCCGCTCGAGCTGCTCTTTGACCCACTTGCGATCAATCTCTTGGAAGGCCTCTTTCTGGTCTTGCCGCACTCGATACTTGCCGCACTCGATAGCACAAAAAACTCTTACTTTCGCTCGCCGAGAAGTGCCACGTCATGTTCTCCATGGAGTTCGTCAGCCCTTTCATTGACGGGTTGGCAGAAGCTGTCGTTGCCACTACGTCGTCAACAACCACAACCTGCAAACCACCATCACGCCAGTTGAGAGTGTATGAATAGTGAGCCTTTAGAAGCTCTTACCTTTTGATGTGCCCTGGCCGACTTTGTCTTCTGCACGAACATCAAGGTGTTCGTGCAGAAGACAAAGTCGGTCACAGCACATAGCAGCTTCATGACGCAGGGAAGCTCGCATGGAGACATGGCCTGGTTCCAGTCGAGTAGTAGGGTGCACGTAGAGCCGAGCGCTTTATTTTGCAGAAGGTTCTCGCGCAGCTGCACCTAAATACAGGCAGCCTTTGGCGCAAACGCCGGATCGGATCTCCATGAGCCGCTTGCGGGCCTTCGCCGCGCTGGCGACGGCCGCCACGGCGCTGCTGACGGTGCTCATCGCGTTCGCCATCTGCAGAGCCGACCGCGTCTACGTGGGCGGGCTGGCATGGCCGTTCGTCTCGGATCTCGGACGCGGTACTGTACTCCTGGCCCAACAGCTTGTGATAACCTCCAGGCTGCTAACCGTCACCCCCACGCAGACCCGCCAGGCTCGTACGTGCTCTTCTTCGGGCTCAACATCGTGGCCGTGCTGCTGGGGCTCACGTGGAGCTTCAACCACGAGTACAAGCAGCGCTTCCTGCAGCAGAGCCTGGACAACGGACAGGTCTCGCGGCTCGTGTGCTCGCTGTCGTACATGGGCTGCCTCTTCGGCGTCGTGGGGGCCTTCGGCTTGCCGGTCTTCGCGTCCTTCAACGCGTCGCCGACGCTGCACAACAACGCGGCCTTCGGGTTCCTGCTCTGCGAGGCGGTGGCCATGTTCACCAACGTACGGCCTAGCCTAAATGGGGGGGGGGGGGTGAGCTATAGCTGCAGAGTTGCTGACTCTTGTGGGTGTGTGGTGTTGCTTGCTGCTGGGGGCAGACGTACCTGAACTACCGCATCTTCCTGGTCAAGCGCTCCGAGATGGACGCGGGCGTGTTCATCACCGACCGGTACGGCCCGCGCAGCGTCTCGCGCATCAAGCTGGGCGAGCTGCAGGCCGTCAAGCGCGGCTTCCTCATCGAGCTGTCGTGCGTGGCGCTCTTCACCATGTGCGTGCTCGTGTACCTGCCCGTGCTCTACAACGGCTCGGAGGCGCCACATCTCACCATTAAGCAGGTAGGTTTCAGAACGAGGAGAGAGGCCTGGTGGGCGTAGGGATCGTGCTCATTCACCTTGCGGTGCTTGTGGCGCAGTGCATTGCTCTGAAGCTTGGGGAGAACTACTGCAGCTCGACGATGCGGCTGGACGACGTGTACACGAAGCTCTGGGACTATGGTAAGCGGTCATGCAGCGGTCCGTCTTCTCTCTCCTCTCCTCTCCTTGAATTAACCTCGTTCTTGTTGTCGCTACCGCAGAGCAAGACATCGCGGTGCACCAGGTGCGAGCGCTCGCGCAGCTCGGCTGCATGCTGACGCTGATCGGGTATACGCTCAGCTTCTTCGCCGACAACAAAGAGGAGGAGACCATGAAGGACAAGGACCGCACGGCCGCCGCGATCGTCTACTACCAGCACAGCGCGTCCATGCCGCCAAACCGCAGTCCGCGGAGGTCCCGCAGGAATAGCACGCGGCGGAGTCAGTCCACGTCCAGCTCGGTCAGTGAGCCCACCAAGCACTCGAACCCGCCGTAGCAGACAGCAGCAGCTCTTGAGTGGACCATCGGTCCCAGGTTGTCGTCTTCTCTAATGTAACGTTGGCTTGGAGCTCGTGAGGGCGAATCTCGGAATTTTCACTTCACATTGGAAGCAATGGAGCTAGCCCTACGCGTACAGCACACGACTGCAGAGATACGCTTTCCTGACCCCGCGAGTTCACGCCTATTATGAGACGAAGTGTCGTAACGGAAGTCACTTGGGCCCTGAAACCACCGACGAGCTCCACTAGCGATTCCTCTTGAGCTCTGCTGGAGCTCGCGGCGGCCATGGCGTTCCCGTACCCGGTGAACACGCGCATGACGACGCGCAATGTGGAGAAGATCCAGCTCGAGCGCCGGCGGCAGGAGATGGAGCACTCGGCGCTGCACAAGTTCGCGCAGGGCAACCAGTTGCAGGCCATGCAGAACCAGTCGGACGCCAACGTGGCGTCGCGGCGCCGCACCAACTTCGCCGCGCAGCTCTCGGCCGAGCGCATGCTGGAGGAAGCCCACTCCAAGAAGATCAGCGAGCGGCAGCGCGCGGCTCGAGAGCGCCAGCAGAACGAGGCGCTGGCTCATGCCCTCGAGGTCAGCAAGAAGGCGCAGGAGCAGCAGGAGCGCGAGGTGCAGCGCATCTGCGAGGCCAGCGAGGAGTTGCGCGAGCTCGAGGTGTTCCTCAAGACAGCCTACATGAACAAGGAGCGCGCCACGCAGCAGCTCGAGCGCGAGACGCTGGCGGCGCTGGACCGGCAGCGCGAAGCCGCCATCGAGCAGCAGATGGAGTACGACCGACAGCGCGCCCTGGTGGAGATGCAGAACCAGGAGCTCCGGAAGCGCGTCGAGGCCGAGCAGGGCAAGCAGGTGCTCCAGTCGCAGATGCTGCAGCGCCAAGAGCTGCGCCGCGAAGCGCAGATGGAGGCGGACTTCGAGCGGCTCAAGATCGAGAAGCTCATGCAGCAGGTCGAAGAGGAGGACGCCGCCGAGCTCGCGCGCAGAGAGAAAGCTCGCGAACATACCCGCGAGATGATCGACCAGGCTCACCAGGAGCGCGAGAGGATGAAGCAGGAGCGACTCGAAGCTGCGCGCAGAGAGGACGAAGCCATCGCAGAGTACCGACGGCGCGTGGAGGCTCGCGAGGCCGACATCAAGGCCTCCGAGGCGGTCAAGAAGGCGCAGGAGGACGCCATGTTCCGCGCCGTGGAGGCCGAGATCCAGGCCAAAATGCGCGAGGAAGAGGAGATCGAGCGTCTGCGTGACGAGCTCTGGGAGGAGGAGCTGCTCCAGAAGAAGCGCGCGCAGGAGGAGGAGAAGATCGCGGCCAAGCAGCTCGCCAAGGAGGAGATGATGCGCAGCAACGAGATGCAGATGCTGCTCAAGCAGGAGCTGCTCGCCCGCCAGCGCGCCGACGAAGAGGCCTTCAACGAGATGCTCAAGGAGAGGTTCCGCTCCGAGGAGCGCCGCGAGATGGAGCTGGCAGCGTTCCGCCGAAAGCAGCGCGAGCAGTTCGTGGAGGAGATCGCCCGGCACCGCGCGCTCAAGCAGGAAGTGGTGTACGCGGAGCTGCAGCGCGAACGCCGCGAGCGGGAGCGCCAGGAGCAGGACGAGAACTACAGGCACCAGGTCGTGGAGGCCGCCAAGCAGCGACTGCTGCGCGAGCACGCCGATGTGTTACAAGGGTATCTGCCGCGCGCGTTGCGGCCGTCTTCATCGTCGTCTTCCAGCGGCCCGATCTTTCGTTGATGAGTTGAATCTCCTTAATCACAAGCCACACTCTTCTTGCCTAAGGCATTGCTGCCCGTTATGCTCCTTGCATCCAGCCAAGCCCAACGTGTGTATTTTTTCTTGGTAGTACCTGTTGAACAGCTACGACTGAAATGCTTTGACAGGAACTCTGGTCAGCCAAACAGCTTAGAAAAAGGGTTTACCTCACCTGCTTCGCGGCGACGGCCTATTGCTTGGTGTCGTCTTGTTCCATGGCGTCGTCTTGCTGGTGTAGCTTCCAAAGACTTGCGGAGTCGACCACCTGGCTATCAGCATCTGAACTGGTATCGCGCGCTTATCTGTAGATCTTGAGCGAGCGGTCCATGGACGTGGAAGCGAGGAAGCTCGAATCGGGCGCGAATTGGACGCCCGTGACGGCGGCCTTGTGGTCGCTGAACGTCTTCACGACCTCCCAGTTGTTCTTGCTCACTTCCTTCAGCACCTGCACGGCCTGCGCGCTGGCCACGGCGAGATGCGAGCCGCTCGCATCAAAGCTGATGGAGTGGATGGTGCCCAGCTTGAGCTGAGGGTGCTCCTTCTTCAGGTCGAGCTCGAAGAAGCTGGTGGCCTTGCGCAGGTCCCAGAGCTTCACCACGCCATCCTCGCTTCCTGACGCGAGGTGGTAGCCGTTCTCGGAGAAGCCCAGCGCCGTGACAGGCGCGGCGTGGCCCTCGAACGTGACCACGTTCGACAGCGAGTTCACCGCCCACATCTGCACCAATTTGCTCTTCGCTGCCGTGCCGAAGATGCCGCCGTCCGGGTGGAAGCGCGCGCAGCGCGCCTCGTTCGCCGCCTTCTTCGGCTTGCCGGCGGCCGCGTCGGGCATGGCCAACTCGCCGTTGAGTGTGTAGCGCGAAAGCAGCGCGCCGCGGCGCACGTCGTGGATAGCCCACGTAGCGTCGAGCGAGGCGGACAGCACGTAGTTGCCCGTCGGGTGGATGGAGGCGCTGGAGACGGCGTCGTCGAAGCCGCCGAGCGTGTAGACCACGCCGTAGCCCTCGTCCTGCGGGGTCCAGAGCTTGACCGTCTTGTCGTGCGAGGCCGTGAGCACCATGTCGGCGCTCGGGTGGAACTCAACGTGGCTGAGCTTCTTGGCGTGGCCCGTGAGCGTGGCCACGAGCTGCTGCTTGTCCGTGTCGAAGATCTTGGCGTGCTTGTCCACGCCGCCCGTGGCCACGCGCGCGGGGCGCTTGCTGTCCACGGCCACGCACGTGACGCCGGGCTTGTCCGAGTCGTGCAGCGTGTGGCTAGAGGCCGCCGTCCAGCCGTCGAGGCCGCTCAGCAGCGCTGCGCGCTGCGGGCCGTCCTTCTTCTTGAAGTCCTTGCGCCGCTTGGCCAGCTCCTTCTGCTTGGCCTCGACGTTTGCCAACACCTCAGGCGCGAGCGCGGCGCCGTCCGGGGAGGCGCCCGCGCCCATGTCCACGTCGGCCGGCTCGCCCGCGGCCAGCTGCGCGGCGCGCTCCTTGAGCGCCGCGTTCTCAGTGTTCAGGCGCGCGATGACGCGGCAGGCGGCGTCGTGCTGGTACAGCGCGTGGCTCAGCTCCTGGCGCGTCTGCTCCAGGTGCTGCTTGAGCGTGAAGGTCTCGAGCATGACGGCGTCCCACTCGTTCTGGAAGGCGGCCAGCAGCTGCGGCACGCTCGCCGCCTCGGGGGCGCTCAGCGCCGCGGGCGCCGTGGCGGCGGCGGAGGCGGCCTTGCCGCCCGAGGCGGGCGCCGCGCGCACCGCCAGCAGGTCCTTCTCGGCGTCCAGCTCCTCGCCCGTCACGGGGCAGCGCCGCTGGTTCTGCTCCAGGTACTCGAGCAGCAGGCGCCGCTCGAACACGAGCCCCGACTTGAGCGACACCACGGGCTCCACGGGCACCTGGCCGCTGAGGCTGCACAGCATGATCGATTCTTCCTCTTCCTACGCTGGCCGAGTGCGGGCCCTTGCTTTGGCTCGCCAACCAAGAGACTGGCAATCAGTATGTCCCTACTAAGTACGAGTGTAATTTCTTCCGCAATTTTTTTGCAGGCATATTGCGATCGTCACGCGAAGAGCCGCCGAAGATTGCCGAGGCGCAGGAGCTGGCTGCGAAACGCGCGGGCTGGGGAGACAAGCATCAGGAGGAGGACGTCGAGCCGAGCCTTTGCGCTCGCGCGGGGCCTGGGTCTGCTCTTCGCGCTGCTTGCGTCGAGTTGTTGCGGGAGTGCGACGGCAGCAGACCCAGAGCCGCCGGTATCGATTCCAGCAGACCCAGTCAACACAGACGTGTTTGCAAACGAGAGCGTGTCGATGCCGCCGAGGCAGGCGGTGTCGGTGGCCCTGGGCCGTGCGTCGGCGCTACTGAGCGGCGCTGTGCTGGACGTGAAGAACGTGAGCATGTCGGTCCCGCGCTGGAGCGACTTTGTGCTGCTGAAGCGCGTGTCGAGCAGCAGCAGCGGCGGCGATGCGTGGGAGGTGGCTAGCGAGTTGCAGTCGAGCAACGTGAGCTGGCTGAAGACAGCCGAGGTGGTGTTGGCGCCGCGCATCGCCAAGTCGCAGACCGTGACGGTGTCCACGAACGTGACGCTGGTGGACTCGGTGTCGTCGCGCGCTGTGGTGGTGGAGGTGTGGTATGTGGTTCGGAGCATCCCGGACCCTCGCTCTCTGGTGTCGTCGGCGGTGATGTCGCAGCGGTTGGTGGTGGAGAGCAGAGAGGACGAGCCGGCGCTACTGTCTTTGAGCGTATTGAACGTGCTGAGCGAGTCGCTGGACAGCGCCGCGGTGTGGTCGGAGTACTGGTCCGCGGACGTGGAAGTTCACGGGCGCGACCTCGGCGCTTCTGTGAGCGGCTTGGCCCTCGACGGGGATTCGTCGGAGGTGGAAGAGCGTGCTGGCGGCAGCGTGGTGGGCGTGTCGAACGTGTCAGCGGCGACGCTGGCTTGGAACGCCTCGTCGGATGATGGGTCTGCTGCAGCGGGCGTGCTGCAGGTGGTCCCGGTGGCTTCGTTTGCGGGTGTCTTCCGTGGGTCTGTGGTGCTGGTGTTCCGCGACAAGCGTAGCGCGGCACAGAAGGTGGAGGTGGCGCGTCCACTGTCAATCTCGTGGCGGCGTCGCGACCTGGATTTGTCCGTGGAGCTGCGCACGATGGTGTTTGCGAACGAGAGCGTGTCGATGCCGCCGAGGCAGGCGGTGTCGGTGGCTCTGGGCCGTGCGTCGGCGCTACTGAGCGGCGCTGTGCTGGACGTGAAGAGCGTGAGCATGTCGGTCCCGCGCTGGAGCGACTTTGTGCTGCTGAAGCGCGTGTCGAGCAGCAGCAGCAGCGGCAATGCGTGGGAGGTGGCTGGCGAGTTGCAGTCGAGCAACGTGAGCTGGCTGTGTGGAGAAGTGCTGAATAAGAATTGTTCTCCGAGAAAGACGGCAGGGCCGATCGACCGGAGGCGTGGGAGATCGGCGATCGAGAGACAGGCCGCAAGGATCTACGGATCAGAAGGAGTTCTTCGGGCGATCTCAGGTGGTCCGATGACGCCGGCGCGTGAGGCAGGACATGTGGCAAGCCGGATTCTGGATGATCGTGCTCGAACCGCGGCGTGATTCGGAGCCGACCCAAGTCCAGATCGACGACGGAACTCGCGGATCTGGGATGGCCGAGGACAGAAGGTGATGGATCGGCGGCGCATGGCAACCGGCATAAGTCATCGATCGGGGGTTGATCGCCGATCGCCGATCGAGGTCGATCGTGGATCACCGATCGGGGCCGATCGTGGATCGACCAGGATGGGACGCACATGGAGGACGAAGTCGGGACAAGAATCCAGTAATCGTGTGGTTGTAGGAGGGTAAGCAAGATGGTAGCATTAGGGAGAGACCAGCTAAACATAAATCAGAGCAGAATTGCACCGAAGAC